CTTTTGAGATTCCTGAGACCTGAATCGATTCCTGTGACAACTTGGAAGAAAGCCTCAGAGCAGCATGTTCACTGCCAAGGTCAAGCAGAACCAGTGGAAAGTCAGCAGGAGTGGCTCTGGCCGAGCCGTGAAGCATTGGAACGCAGCTAGGTCCCTTGCCGTTGTGCTTGCGTGCACCTGGCTGAGACCCGCGAAGTCCTGGCAGGAGCCCGGCGAGGAATCCAGCTTTCTGATCGACCACCTGCTGCTAGACAAGTACATGCTGTTTCGGGGGTTGACATGCCTAGGCACATTGAAGTTCGTTGAAGTATCAATCAAGTCACTTGTAGTGAATTCGTAGTAGGCGGGACCGCGCCAACTGAGCTGATAGGATTACATTGCCTTGTGCTGAAGCCACGCTGACCTTCATTTCGAATCGTTAAACTCTCCGTGTGGCTGGCAGAAGGCTTCAGGGCTGCGCTATGCGCACAGGTAGGGCTTTGTTCCGCAGATGAGAAAACTGAGCTGTGACTATCTGTCTTGTGATCGAAGGTAAGCACGGCAACCATGACATGGTTCCTCGTTTGTCATCTTAATGTTCGACGGACCTAGTGACGAATCTAGTGGTTGTGTTGATTCATTTTCCGTACTTCTTCGAAGAGACTGGGTTCGATTACAAAGCGAGCATCAGTCTGCACTCCATACCTTATAAGAAGTCGTGTAGGCTTGTGCCGGGTTCGTGGGGTTTGTACGTTTGAGGTTTTACTGAGTTGAAGGTTCGAGAGGAAGTCCTTACACTTTTCGGGTTCGCTGCTACTTTGTTTTCAACGTGGGATGCTTGTTTCATTTTCCAGCTTGAACTTGTGAAAATTGGAGGGAGGCTGCCGCAGCTTCGAGATAATTCACTTTTGACTTTACACCTTACAAACCAGCACTTGGGATAAAGACATCCCGATGCCGCTGGCAAGGAAATGATGACATGGTTTGCACGTATTGCATGGCGACCGGGACACCACGACGAATCATTACATACTTCCGTCTGTCAGTCTGTCAGTCTGTCTGTATGCAAGGTATTTTGTATACACATGCATACCTATACAAATATATGTGCAGTATATGCAAAAACGCACAAATGCATGCACCCACCCACCCACACCCACCCCCACCCGCACACACACACACATAGATAGATACATTCATATATATATATATATATATATATATATACATACATATGTATGTATGTGTGTGTATATATATATATGCATATATTTATACACATGCACATGCACAGTATGCAGAAATACATTACGGGAATACGTACAAATGCATGCCTGCACGCATACAATGCCAGAACCATGCTGAGATACACTCCCAGCATGCATACGTGGTATTCCCACATACATGCATGCATGCGTGCATACCTGATACATATACACATACATAGAAACACTTCTTATGGATAATGTGCACGTGCATACAGAGACGGATATAGACAAGGCTGGACACGTTCGCCGCTTGGCCTTCACGCCTGGCCGGGCTCTCCGCTGCTGGCGGCTGATAGCCAAAATACTGATTCAGGGTCTTGCAGACCTCAAACCTCAGCATAGGAGATCATAACTTATGAACTCATGGACTTGAGACTTCCCTCCCAGGGTGCATGAGAGCCGAAGTTTATGGGCTACACATGGCTTCTCATAGGCAACACATGGGCGCCATTGTGTTCGCGACAGGCGTGCCGAGTCACAAAAAGTGTGTGCAGGCAGTCGAGAATTGTCGGGGCTAGTTACTTAGGTTGGGGCTGTTGAGGCTGCAGCGCTGGTGGCTCCGGGAGAGGGTTAAAAGGGATTCAAGCCAAGACCCGTAGCATGCAGAGACCGGGGGTGATTTGCAAAACAGCAGGGGTTTTTTGATATGGCCACTTACTTGAAAGCCCCGAGAGAAGCAATGTAGAGCATCCCATGAGACCCTTGAAGCCGTGGCACGCGAAATGGTCTCGTCCCCTTCGTGTGCTCGACGAGGTATAGCTGTGCTAGAAGATGTTTCGAATGTTGATAGTGAAAATCACGAGTGCTACGAATATGATTGTGATCCCTGTTGCTGGAGTCGCTGACGCTGCGGCTGTTGTTGCTTTTGTTGTTCTCTTCGTGGCTGTAGATCGTCGTCGTCCTTATTGTTCTCGACGTCGCTTCCGTCCACTGGTAGGTTTGTCTTAAGAGGAGCAGCCGCAACAGGGGACAATCGGTAGGGATGGAGGGTTAATTCTTGCAAGCCTCACCCAAAGTACAATTTCTTTATGGTACTGCTCGCCTTGCTTTGTCTGCTTCTTGCTCATGCTATAGCCTACTAAAGCCCGTTGGTGTTGTGGGAAGAGCCTCGGTACACCCCATTGGGCTTCAGCCTGAAGAGGTCCCTGGAATCCATCTCGAACCCACAACCATAGCTTCTCTAGAATCCTGCAGACCTGATGTCTTGAACTTGACCAAACAGCTGAGGGTGGACAGGATTGAAGGCTACGGTTCCTGAGATTCTAATTAGTCCTACACTCCCTCACGTTGAGAGAAGCAGCTCAAGAAGAATGCAAAAACCCGCTTGCCGCATCGCAAAGGTATGGCCTGCTCCTTGCCAGTGCCACCTGGGCACTGGGGCGCCTTCGGCGCGCCCGCGGGCGCAATCGCGGCAGCGCGGAGGTGACGACCACTCAGCACCTCAAATCCGCAAACCGCAACACCAAACTGCTAAACCCTAGACCCAGAATCCTAGAGTCTAAACCACGGCTTTCTACGTAGTTGGTGACATGGTCAGAGTTTTTGCATCATGGCCGTGAAGTCGTGTGCAAGGTTGTGTGGGCAGAGTGGCACCTGGTGCCGAAACGTTCGGCTCGGTAGTTTGCATTCATTTTGGTGCTTCATCCAGCCTTTCATCACATCTAGAGCTGACAGGGGAGACTTTTGGGTAGCACCGAGGGAGGAAGCCCACAGGCAAGCACAATCATGTGCTCGAACAGCAGACGGTCGGAGCGAACAGCCCTGTATGTAGCTCGTCAAAGGCTTAGGACGAAGCAGTAGCTCAGCAGCTGTCTCCGAGAGCCTTCGCCTCTCAACCGTGATGCTGAGGGCGATGGGCGTGCTATGAATTATATGGCCGTTCTTATCGGCTTTCTTCTCATCACTTTAGAGTGGCTGCAAACGGAAAATAATGTGAGTGGAATGTCTGGAGACTTGCTGGCATGTTGAGGAATATACTACAAAGCTTGGAGCTGGACCAGCTAGACCTGTAATTCTTTCCTCGATGCAATGAACAGCATCCCCGCGCGACTAGGATTAGGACCGGTTCGCAAGTCATTTTGGCTCTTGCTGTGGATTTTGTGAGTCTTATCTCATTGGAGTCCGAAGGCTTTGTAGGACTTTATTATGATTCATGGGTTTTTGCACCTCACGTCTGTGCCAGGCTCCGATTCTGGGTCTCGCGATCTTCGTCTTGAGCTTCTTGCCCATGACCAACATCCTCTTTCCCATAGGCCCACGATTGGGGGCTCCTGGCGCGGCTCCGGAGCAGAGGGTCCCAATAAACATGTTGATGCTGGAGATCTTCGTGAGTATGAACTGTGCCAAACTGTTCTGGTTGCATATTTTCCGAAGCCCGAAGCCCGGAAGAAAGCAGGAGCCCAAAGATCTGTCAGAATTTGCTGCGAAAGCTTTGCTCGCAGGGCCTAGGGCTTGGATTTGGGGGCTTCGGTGTTTGGGGAAAAGTCTGGAGCCTCCTTTCGAGACTTCTGGCTCCCGCAGCCCGGGTAGAGTTACCCCAAACCCCCAAACCCACCAACTGAGCGCAGCAATGGAATCCTTGGCTTACTAATGACAGGGCGAAACTAAAAACTTAGACGTGGATCCATCTGGATACATGTAAAGCGTCTTCAAACTTTACGCTAAAGGGCATCCTGAAGAGATGGTCAGGAACGCTCGTGGCCGAGCGGTTGCTCTACTTGCCCTCCATCGGCTTCTTGATCGTGCGGGCCCCAGAGAGGCAAGGCAGTTGGGGTACATTGTTTTGTGATTGTTGGGGGTCCTTCACTTTCTGACAATCTCATATTCCCACCGAAGGATGAAGATTACAATCTGTTGAGTGGTTGGTTTAGCAAAGAACCCCTAAACCTTACCAACCCTATACGCTAAACCCTGACTCCAACACCCGAAGCCCCCAAACTCGGCAAAAGTGGCCCAACGGGCCGAGAGTGACGCGCAAAGGTTCAAGCCTGAACTCCTCAACCTTTGATCCCGAAGCCTCGGAGCATCTAACAAGTCATCCCAAAGCTTTGCCGGCAGAAGTACTATAATATGTCAAAACAATACCAGTATCATGTAACATAATCAAATACAAAACGACATAGTAGAATGTAGAAGGCGATGTGCTCCGCAGGTCGCCGTCTGCTTTGTGCGTGAGCACGTGGAGTTCGGATCGGGATCCCGACAGATCAGGAGCAGCCCTTTCAGGGCTCCTTCAAGGGATCTTTATTAGGGTTCCGATTATGATAGGTATATTCCCTTATTGAAGGGGTTTTGGAGCAGCCGCCCGAGTTCACCATTTTGGGTCATTTTCGAGGAAGTATGGGCTTCGGAGCCATGATTCCTAGATATGTCATATTCGAGCAAATCTTCGGATGTGTGCTGATTCCATGAGTCCGTTGGAGGTTTGATTAGCAAAAAGCTTGGCAATATGTGTGGTCGACATGTCTCATTCTCATCCTTCGAGGCCCTGTTTCGTGTGAAGCTTCGCTCCGGCTCAGGCGGCTGCATTGTCCTGGGCAGGTCATTACTAGCACATGAGATCAGCATCTGCTGGCTTGGCCACCCACTCAAGGGGCCGTTGTAGAGTCCTCTCGAATGAGAGTTTAATCAACTCCCGAATTCTCCGAAGATGGCCAAGTGCCAGCACTGCATCAGCACAGCATGCCGGCAAGCAGCACATACCGACGACAACCACACAGCTTCAGGGAGAGTGCCTCTGTAGCTCCCAATGCGATGCTCCTGACGTTTCTGCAAGCACAGAGCGTGCTTGCCAGGGGCATTTGCAGGCTCGACCCGGACTGTTGCACTCTTGCGAGCAAGCTTACATGTTGGGTCACTACATGAACTGAGCTGATGCTTGACGAGAGCAGCGTGGTCGTAGCTTTAGCTCCTTGCCGAACGTGCTCAGCGAGAACGCTGCAAAAAACTCCGAAGCCAACCTCAGCTTCCAGGTGGAACGCTCCTCAGCCTCTGTTGGCAAGGCCTGGACAGGGGGGCCGGGATTCTTCGCTGCGGGTCACCTCCAAGCTTGGAGCCTTACGTGCAGCTGACCAACTCCTTTGCAGGTTGTAGGCAGCTGGAGAAGATAGCTTGAGTTCCTGTGCTGTAGACATTGGTCTTCACACTCAGGCCAAAAAAAAGCGATAGACGAGCATCCTCCTGGCAGTCGTCGCCTCGATCACTACGTCGCCACCAGCAGCAGCATCACAATCATCATCGTCATCATCAGCCCCAGCAGCAGTGATAGCAAAAGCCATCATCGTCTTCTCCGTGTTCATCGCCATGTTCATGTTCATCTTCATCATGACCATTATCACCTTCTTCGTTACGAGTAGATGATGGGGCCGCCCACCCCCAGAAACCAAATCATTTCCTTTTCTTCACGACCATCCTCGTCGAGTCTTCCCCACTTCCTCCGGGGTGGTCGTTGTTTCTGTCGTTGCTTAGCCCTGAGAGGGGCAAGATGACTGGCGGCGCTCCCTTCCGAAATCCTCACAACCTTCCGGTCAAGGACAGCACCTTCGAGTCCCTTCGACATGACATTTGGATTTTAGTCTATTCCGAAGTCCGTTCCTCCCACTTGCACACACAACGGCTAGTCCAAAGGATTGTGTATCGCCGAAGGACTGCGTTGTGTGCGGTCGGCCATTTACCTGGCGGAAGAAGCCCTGGCCTTGTCTTGTGAGCTTGTGAGGGGGAGAGCTTTGATGAATCCGAAGTGGGTCTTGCCCGTGAGCATACTCTGCTCTGCTTGAACTGTACGCGCGGGGGGGGGGGGGCGGGGTAATGGCAGGGCGACTAGACTCTGCCACTTTGTCTGGGCCATGTCTCAGACAGAGGAGAGGGAGAGAGAGAGAGAGAGAGGGAGAGAAAGAGAGACACAGAGAGCGAGAGCGAGAGATCGAGAGATAGGAAACAGACAGGTGGCTAGCAATATAGCTATAGCAGGTCGGTAGGTAAGCAGTTAAGTGGGTAGACGGATAGAAAGACAGACGGGCAGACGGATAGATAGGTAGATCAGGGGATAAACAGACAACACATACAAAGATAGACGGATGGATGGATGGACCTTGCGAAATAATAGTATTGAAGACATAGCAGTCGATACCTCCGGCAGGACCACGGCTTGCACAACCCTATATCCCTAATCTCAGCATAGTATCTGCCAAAACATCCTCAAAACATCCCATAAATGTGGAGACTCAACCACCCTTGCTTTTGGACTTTATTGCATACTGTTTTGGGAGTTCCTTATGATCCTTACTATATATCCCCCCAAACCCTACGGCTGTCGAGGTGGGAGCGCTGCTGGGATGAAGTCTACTGGGCTCGTTTGGCTTCCGTGTGCTTGCAGTTTCGATGCAGTGCGGAGCCCAAAGGCAAAGCCTCTACAAGGAAACATGGCTGTGGCGGAAGTGTAGGGGCAAAGGTCTGCAGGTATTTGTATCTGACTCGCATGTTTAGCTCAGAGGGCCTCAAGGAATGATGGGGGCACGGCTCGCTTGGGGCAGCCGTCAGAACCCCACAAGAGGTAAGCCTGAGCTGTGTAGACGGAAGGATGATCCCTATGATCTTGAGGACGCACTTACATGCTTGCTGGTGACAGAAGGCATCCAACCCGCAGGCCACATCTACACTGGGTTTGGTGATGCAGACCCGATAGTGGTGTTTTCGTACAGGATTTTTCTGAAGACACCTCGGAGGCTTTTTCAAATTGGGGCACATGAAGACCAGGACTGAGCTGGTGTGTCTCTCGCATTCTCCAGCTGTTTCGGGTGTGACAGGTGCAGACCTGCAGCAACCGCTGCCGCACAGAGCGCCCACTTCCTAAACTGTGCTGCATCATCAATGCTGCGCTGCGGAATGTCTGCATGCATGCCTGTCGGCGTGGGTGGTAGGTGGGTGGGTGGGTGGGTGGGTGCTGCTCCTACTACTACTACTACTACTACTACTACTACTACTACCACTACTACTACTACTACTACTACTACTACTACTACTACTACTACTACTACTACTACTACTACTACTACTACTACTACTACTACTACTACTACTACTACTACTACTATACTACGACGACTACTACTGCTACCACTACGACTACAACTTCCTGCCTACTCGTACTGCCTACAACCTGCCACTATCTCCCTATTGCCTACTCCCTACTGCCCACCGCCTACTATCTGCATTCTACTGCATGTTGCGGGTTGTATGACGGCAGGCATGCATGTATGTGTGTATGTAGGTCTGTATGTACGTGTGCATGTAAGCAGGGATGCAAAAATATACCAATGTATGTATGTGTGTTTGTCTGTATGTAATGTACTCGTATATACAATTCGCGCATACATGCACGTATGTATGTATGCATGCATGTGCACACGTATGCAAGTAAATGAGCTTGTGTATGTACTTTTCATGTAGAGAGCACCAACTCACACAACCACATGGCAAAGTCAGGTCGTGCGAAGAGCTCAGCGGGCAAGAAACTCGCCGGGGGAATGGCAGCAGGAGCACCGAAAAGTGTAGATCAGACTTGCAGTATTTCGTTGCAGACGCTTGCTCTGATTGCAAGGTTCTTTGGCGAGCTCTGTGATTTGATGCATGCAAGTTTGATAGGCCATTCTGCAGAAGATCTCTGATTGTTTTACACGCATTTGATGCCTTGCCATGTCATGCATCGTGCTTGTATCATCATCACGTGCTGTTTTGGCAGCCGTTCCAGCGATGATGCTTCACATTGTGTTCTTTACTGTATGATTGCCTGCAAAGTTTCCTGCACCACATCGTTCTTCTCACTGCAGCTTGTATGTTATTCTGGCCTTCGTGCAGGCAAGGTGCTGAGTATCCCCAAGATCTGCCACGGAGCAAGGTTCGTATGAGTCTGATCTCGCATTGACATGAATGTGAGAGGCAAGGCTCCCGCTGATGTTGAAGATGATTGCGACGATGATGCTGCCAAGAAGCCTGAAGGGTACCAAGCTCGCTGTCTCACGGCCTTTCAGCCAGCACCATGCCCAACGAGAGCCTGGCGACCTATCCCTCGGCTTGAGCCCGAGCCCTGCGCCTTTCGAAGGAGCCGCTGCGGCGATCACTTCCGCTCGCCTGGCAAACATTGCAGTGAAGAGTTCCTTGTAGCAGTGAGGTGATGCTTTCCTTGGCCCGTTATTTGCACACCCATAAGCCACAAGGAGAGAGGGAGAGAGAGAGAGAGAGAGAGGGGGAGAGAGAGAGAGGGAGAGAGGGGGAGAGAGAGAGAGAGAGAGAGGAGAGATAGAGAGAGAGGAGAGGAGAGAGAGAGAGAGAGCAAGGAGAGAGAGAGAGAGAGAGAGAGAGAGAGGAGAGAGAAGAGAGGAGAGAGGGAGAGAGAGAGAGGGAGAGAGAGAGAGAGAGAGAGTCAGAGTCTAGCAGCAGCAGCAGCAAAGTCAGACTCTAGAGCTGAATACCATGAGCCGAACGCACTCCTACCTCAGTGAGACCAACCGCAGGGGCGAACTGATACAGTAGCACCCTCCCGATATCTTGCAAGGAGAAGAAGAGCAGCGAGATCAACATAGGGAAGGGCACAGACGGAGTGACGGAAATGAGCGGGACAGACGCGGGAGAAACAGTTCTCTCTCTCTCTCTCTCTCTCTCTCTCTCTGTGCCTCTCTCTCGCTCGCTCGCTCCGTCTCCCCTCACTCGCTCACTCACCCATTGAGTCATGCACAACTGACCGTGAGTATGCAGCAGCTCCGAATTGTAGCTCAGCTCTCAAAATGTTCCATGCACAGCAGGTGAACCGGGCTGCAAAGTCCGAAGACAGCGAAGCCACATCAGACGAGGTGTCATTTGATCACACAGCGCAAGTCCAGGGTCAGTCCTCAACGTTGCATCTGTCACGGGCCTATGACATTCGCTTGAGGAGGTTGCGGATGGTGAGAGATCGCCCTTAAGGTTGGGGTTGTTGCAATGGCAAGCAAACCTGCGATGCTGTTTTTCGCTGAAGGTCCTAAGCTTTCAAAGCCACCACATGGAAAGCCTCTGCCACAATGTGATTTCGCGGACACTTGTTCGGGAATAACATGTGAGGTGGTGGATGATCCTGATCCAGTTACACGATCGGAAGAGCCAGGCTGCAGACGCTTTGGGATGTTTTGGGTGTCAGGGATTGAGATCAGACTTTGCTTGAAACGCTTGCAGTGCTGTGGCTTCACTGCCAGCGCCCCACAGCTGGAGTGAAGTTGAGAAACACCCAGCCGCCGCAGCACGAGCGGCCGACCGCTTGACATCGGCGCCACCAGGGTGTTGTCCGACTGGAACAGTTTCGGAAGGATTGTGCTTACTTGTACCTGGAAAGATAAGCTTTCATCGCGCTACCGGTCGACTCTGATGCTTGACAGAGAGTTATGACCATTTCGTCATCTTAGCTGTCTTAGCTCGACATAGAAGCTGTCGGTAACCATTGCCGGGCTCATTGCCGCTAGGGACATGAGTAATAGCAGTCATGGTTCCAATCATCAGAATTCGTACTTTGTAGCAAGACCGGACCTGGGGGTGATTTCGGCAGTTCAGCTCGGATCTTCGGCTCGGCTCGGGAACGTCAGGTGAATCGCCCGCGACCTCGCGAGGATACGCTGGAGACCAAGCCGAGCAGGCCAGCCAGTCGAATAAGTCACGGTGTGGGGTTTGATTATGTTTGAGGCTTTTGGGTCCAACTCAGTACAAACCGGAAGGGATTGGCATGGCACTGTTCGACTCTGCAGCTCTACATTCTACATACAGGAACTCCGAGCCAGTTCTTGTTGGTGTATCTATGTCTGTGTGTGCGAGTGGGCGCTTTTCTCGCGGACGTGGGCGAGGGGGGCGAAGATTATCAGCTTCAAGGGTTATGCGGAACTGGACTGCGCAGCTGTGCAACTCAAGCTGCGGCGATTCAGATTAAAGCCAAGTCTCTAGCCTGCTAGAAAGAGGTTGTGTGAATGCCTGAACTTAGACTTAGGCACAAGCCGATAACAGCCTTGTGGATGTGGCGGGCCTGTCTTAGTTCAGTGTCATGTTCCTTCGATACTTTGCTTGTGTCGTCCCCCTGAATGCCTGCTCCCCCTACACAAAGAGACCCTAAACGGCCTGAATCCCAAAGCATCACCTCGGCTCGGGTGTTTGCCGCCGCTGCTACTGCCTCTTAAAGCCGCCGACAATCGTAATGACGATCAACGGTTTCCTCCGCAGCGCCATGGCCATGGTGTTGCTGTTGTGCTGGCTCGGCGTGGTTCCTTCTGGCGCCATCAACGCGCTCCTCGATTTCGAAGCCTTGGGGCACTCGAGGTTGGGGACTTCTATCTGGGTCTTCGGTTTCCGAAGACCTTAGATTAGACTCTAACTGTCACAGCTTTGATGGATCTAGGCTCTGGGAGGCTCAATGGTTTCCGTGCATGATGCTTTGGGTGCCGTGCGCGGCACACAGGCTCTGAAGACAGCTGTCAGGCATGAGCATGAAAGCGAGTTGCCTCAAACTCATGTAAACTCAAGTCGCTCTGCTTGTACCTCGAGCTTCATGCCACGGGCGCCTGGCCGTCCACCACGCAAGTCCAAAACTCCACCAAAGTAAGGAGCTCAGCCCGCAAACCGCGTAGCGTGCGGTTCCAGAAAGCATGCTCTGGCAACAAGAGTGGCGTTTTTCCAGTGGCATGTTTCAACTGAGGGACATCTACGAGAAGCTGTTTTATGTAAACTGGCCGATGTTCGAAAAGATTACTGAGAAGATCGTCCAAGAGAAGGCAGGAGATTGCAGCATGATCAGAGTTGCGAGAGCAGCCATGGCGGAGTATTCCGAATATTTCCGAACTGTGGTGCCGGCATTGGTTTCTGAGAAACAGAGATGGGCTCTGAGAGTTTCGGGCCCTTGCCCTCACACTAGGACAACCCGACTCTTCACGTGCCGCCGTGCCTGAACTTTCTCCTGTTCTTGTCACCCTGCATAATGCAGAAACTGATCTCGCAGAGGCAGTGGATGTGCTTGACCTCGGAACCGGCCCCGGCCAACCGGCACTGCTGATCGTGCCGTGGTGGAATCTCTTCGTTCGCAAGTGTGAGAGGGTGACTGCGCCGGAGTTTTTCTTGAGCTGACTGAGTGCTTCGTTCCGGCTCTATGGACGCAACACACGAAACTATTACGCTGGGCGCTCCCTCAGGGTCTACATTTCATTGGAAGCCCGATTCATTCTTCCAAACAGGTGCTGTACGTCCCACATGACTTGATGCACAGATACACACATCGTGCAGACCGAGGCCCAAGCCTTGCCGAAGGCACGTGTCCATGCGACAGACTTGCAGGCAGAATGGGGGCCGGGTCGCAACTTCGGGGGCTCCAGTGGTGGTGGCTTCCGAGAGCTTTTTGGGCTGACTAGTGCCAAAGAAGCAGTTGTCGACTGAGAATTGGAACGTCGTCTCTGCTGTCACCTGCCATGAATGAGTAGTTGTGGCACACAAAATGCCAGGCAACGGCTTCAGACCTTCAGACCGAGAATACAGGGGCATGCACAACCCCGGACACATCTCCTGGCAGCCAATGTTCAAGACCTCACAACTTGTGACTTGTGCTTTCATGTGCTATACTCAAACAATCAGATCCAATCCGTCGTAAGCCTTCATGCAGACGCCCCTGAGGAGGCAATGGTCAGCAAAGCAAGGAAGCGTGCGAAAGGCGTGCGTGTGGCGCCCAGTCTGAGCACGATCTCACCTGTGTGCAGGGAAACTTTAGACTTTAGATTCTTCCACCTTACACTGGGTACTTTGCCAGTAAGGGGTATGCCAAGCGGTGTTGGGTGAACCCCTGAGTTGTGGTGTGGAGGTGCTGTTTTCCCTCGACCAAGCTGGACGTCTTGCGGTCACCAAAAGACACGAGGGGTTTAAAAAAAAGTTTCTTCCACGACTGCAGGGGTACATGAAACTGTGACACTGCATCTATTTGTTTCCTTCAATTCTAAGTCCAGGAAGGCGCAGTGGCATCATGCCTGTAGAAATATGTAGAACTCGAGTATGGCCTTATGCACTACCCAAGCTCAGCCGCAACCGCTGCAAGCTAGAAAGGGCTGGTCTTTCGGACTCCATGCCTTCACCCTTAAGACAGGTAACCTCGATTTCAGCGTGGCGTCAGCGGACGATCTCTCTGCGTTCAAGCCAAAGAGCTTCGACGCGGTTACGATGAGTTACGTGCTCATGTTGCCTGGCCCAGAGCAATGCAGGCAACAACAACCGCAATCCCTATCCTCAAGTCAAACTGGATCCGATCAGTGTGAACAGTCAGAGCCAGCGGCCAGCGGTGCTCAGTTGCTGTGAACTGTGAGCTACGAGCATTTCAGCAAGTTTCAGCACTTCTCAGCTTCCGGGCCAGCAGCACCGCAGCACCGGAACCAAGGTTTGTACAGGACAAGGCCAAGGCGCTTCGAGAGATCGGCCGCGTCCTGCGCGGCGGCGGCAGCGCTATCATCTCCGCAACTTGCCGGAAGCAAGAACTTTGAAAGTATGAAGCATGCGCAAGACCGCCTCCGTGTCCAGAATTGTCCCAGATTAAAGCCTGGGCCTAAGCTGCAGACCTGATGTTGGGTGTGCGGGCATCGTTCGAGTCTGCACGGCCGTGTGGCCTCCATGTTCACTTCCAGCGAGGAATGTGGGGCTTGCGGTCGCATCAGCCTTGCCTTAATCTGTCAAGCTGTAGCAGTATGGGAGAGTCTTACTAACCGGAGCCCACGCGAAACCTCTCGATGATACATGAGGTTTGGGAGAAGATGCCTTTCTTCACGCTGGCGGCCGGGGCCCTGGCAGGCAGTTGGAAGCTGCCAGTCGGTCGTCATCCTCGTCATCATCGTCATCAACATCATTGCCGAAACTCGTTCATCTTCAGAGCAGTAGCATCAGCATCAGCATTTTTGGGTGGAAGTTCAGAGACGTCGTGGTCCATGCGGGCTGTCGGCAGCTAGCTCTGACAAGACACTCACTGCCAGTCCAACCACCATCATAGCCGTGGATGGAATCTGGATATCCTTGTGCCTCAACCACGAGACCAAGTGACCAAGTCAAGGGCCAGCCAATACTGTGCAAATCCTAAACCCGAGACGTGGCAGATCTCAGGTGGACAGCTACACTGCCGTGGCCGGCAGCGCGCCGGACCGACTGCCAGTGAACCCGCTGTCGTTGGCCAAGGCGGGCGATAACGAACTACCTCACTTCCGAGGGCCCGCCCAGCCGGGAGAGCCTGGATCTGTCATCAGCGAACAAACTGTTGCTTTGTTGTCCTTTCATGAATGAGGTCTAGTCAGTCTAGTCCAGGTTATGTGTTTCCTTTGTGCCCGACATCCAGGACGGAGCAGTAGAGGACCTGGTGGAGGCCGGACTCATTTCCCAGCATCGCTTCGGTCACTTTGAGTCAGCTTTGTTTTACCCTCGAGGTCGTGCTTGTGGAACAAAGATCTACAGACTCCAAACCTCTTATGTCCGAAGCCCGAACACCTTCACAGTCAGTGCTTACCTTCCCCAGGCCACTAACGGGCTCCTTGAAGTCAAGGCTGTTGCAGCTTGCCTGAATTGAGGCCGAGGCATCAGGGATTGAGGATTTGAAGAGTCCAGGTGAATGGATATGTCGCTTGGCTTCCCAGGAGGTTTGCGAAAAAAAAGTTGCAGGATGCACCTTATGTGTCAGGGCTCGGTCGATGGCAAGCCTTTGCTGCCTTACTGGCAGAAACACAGAGCAGTTCGAAGGCTTAAGGTCGGGCACAGCCGAGAAATTGGGGCCTGTGAGTTCTAATGTATCAAGAAATGCGCCCGATCCACCAAGCATCCAAGAGACCTCTCGAGAGAAGCATGGTGTTCATGAACTTCGCCCCACCCCTGCACGTTCGAAGCCTTCGAGAAAGGCCACCAGCATCGACAGCTCAGGAGCCGGTCTCTTACCCGATGCTTCTGGGAACTGCAGACGAGACCTGTGAGGCCTGCTTCGTAACGCACAAGACTCGCGGGTACAGAGAGTTCAGGGCAGGCTGTTGTCTTTGTCGTGACGGATGCATATACGATGCTTCATTGACATAACTTGCCTAAAAATCGGTGTCCAGCCGCGCGCGGCGCTGGCGTGCGATCATGACACTACCATGACGCCCTTTGTTCGAGCCTGCCACCAAACTTCAGACTGTGAGGCTGGTGTAGATCGACAATAATCATGATGTTGTTGGTGTTCTGCTGAAACAGAGCATTGTTGTAATTAGTACAGCACGGCAAGAGCTACTTAAATCGTACGTACTTCTGGTTCAGCAAGGAACAGCACCGGCAAACCACCTTGGACCAGCTTGAGGCCTCCATGATTGTCGTCGGAACGCTTCTGGAGCAGCTGGAAAAGCAAGGCCAACTCAAAGTGGTTTGAGCAGTTTGAGACTCTGGGTTGCATCAGGGGTCTCGCGGTGTAACTGCTTTTCGTCGAGTCGGAGCTGTATGGGAGCGGGCATGAAGCATGGGAAAGCTTCAGACTGGTGCACAGACTGGTTCTGATGCACTGCACCTAGCTAGAAGGCTGATTGCACTCATGGGCGGCCCAAGAGAGGTTGGGGCTAAGACACACGACGCTACCGTGAGGCAAACCGGATCCGAAGAAGAAGTTCTGCTTGGATCCCAGTTCTCTTCATCGCATCGAGCTGTGTTGAACTGTTGATCACAAATTCAGGCGACAGGTTGCCGAGTCGATGCTTTCCCTCCCGAGGCACCTTGTATCTCCAGAAGTTAGAGGAGGCCGGCATGAAGACGGCCAAGGGAATGTACGAAGCACCTCGACGGCAGCTTGAGAGTGCACGACTAGCAGTATGATTCGTCTCGAGGGCGGGGGAGACAGGGCCTGATTTCGATGAGGAGCCCGCTTCGGGACTGCCGAAAATCTGAAAGCCCGGTGTTGAATTCTAGGTCCTCGGCAGCGTGGCAAAGCTCTTCACTCTTGGGAAACCTGAGAAATTTGCCAGTGAGGAGCTCTAGACGCCGCATGCGCCTGCAGTGAGATTAATCAGGCTCCCACCCTTCCTAACCTGTGGCGCGGGGAGACGTGTGAAGCTGTGTACACGAAGGATGGTTGGGTAAACGCATATAGGGCTGTACACCCATGTAAGCTCTGCATAAAAGACATGGATTCGAAGCCATAGTTGCTTATTGAGGTCGAGGTGAGAAGTGTTGATCCCACCCACCCTCCCGTGCAGGGCTTCCCTGAGCGGGTTGTGTGGGATTGATTTACGCAACCAGTATGCTACGGCATACGACCATTGCTGCTGTTAGGTTCGAGCGTCATGCCACAGCATGTTCGAGTACTGCCGATGCGGCCCACGTTCTGAGCTCCAAAGACGGGGTTTCGGGCCCTACAGAGCTGCGGGAAGAAAAGGGAGCGGCACGATGTTAGAACTCGGAGCAGAAGTCCATGAGCAGCAAGCTTATGCCAGCAGCTGATGCTAGATAATGAGAGTTTGCGGGGGTATACTTTGGACTTCGGTGCGAGTCGGATCGAGCTTTGCTGTGGCATGCTGTGGGACGGTACAGTCCCATCATCTCGGGGAGCCTTCCAGGATAAATATGCTATGCCCACACTCGGGGCTCCGAACTCGGGTTCCTTGCATGTGAACACAATGTCGATGACGACGGCTGTTCCACCGCTAGTGTAGATGGATTTACAGCTGCAGTGGCAGAGATGTAGTTGTGGGAGGGCCCCCTTCGTGAGTGCACGGCATGGAGGATCACAGGAGTAGAAAGAAGATTAAGGCTGCTTGAAGATACGTAATTAGTACTTATTTGGATCTTCATGCGCATGAGATTCGGAAAGCCCTCCACTGCCAGCCATCAAGGCTCCGATGACTGAATAGTCAGCGGGTAGTAGCACAGTTCGCATTTGATTGCCTCTCCGAAAGTCTTCAGAGGACTCCCCGACGTGGGCAGCGGGCAGCATGGAGGGGTTCCGGGACGCCATGGAGAGTTCAGTCTTCTTTCAGGGTTCTGCACGATTGGGGTTGCCCATGCGTTTTTGCTGCCAGTGCAGGAGAGCCACCCGCGCAGGAGGCAGCGCTCCGAAGCGATTTGCCACGTGGCTGCAGGGTTCCGGACGCATTGGCTGTAAGACCATGTTCGGAAGCCGAGGTCAGCCTGCAACATGCACCAGTCCCAAAGCGTTCTGCACTTGCAGATCAGTGGCGCCGATTCGTCTCGGAATGAAAAGGTCAAGCCGGACAAGAAGCAACGCACGGCGATGCAGGGCCTAGCCGGCATGGATGTGCTGCAGTTGATTCTGCAGCAGGTCTACGAGCGTGCTTCTTTGGATGGGCTGCTTCTCGAGTCGTTCTACCTGCAGCAGCAGATCCACTGGGAGATGGAGAAGTACCCAAGTTCAAGTCTTACGCCACCCAGGACGATGAGAAATCTGCACAAACTCCTGTCTCGTATGAGCTGGAGTCAGATGATTCATTTTCTCCGGAACAGCCCCGTCTGTCAGCGTAACTTCCTCGACGACGTGCAGAAGCAGATGGCCTCCCTTCGACCAGGAGACTCATGTGACATCAGTCGTGTAAAGCATACAAAGTCGGTGTGGCTATAGCTTCTTCCGGGGAGAAATCCAACTCTCAGCTTCTACGGGCAATCTGCCCTATGGAGGAGGACGCACGCCATAATCCTGTGGCATGTGCCTGTACAAACTCTTTAAAGATGCCTCCGGCATGGCCAAGACTCGGTCGCTCTCAGGCCCTCCGCCCGGTCCAGGGGATTCATGCAAGTCAGTCCTTGAATTATGTGGTCACAGATGTGCAAACAGGTCACTGTTTCGGCAGGGCACGCAGGCTTTCGTCCGAGCTGGCATCGTATTCTGTCCATCCACAATATATGACTGTCGCATCAGTCTGCTTCTTTGTTTCAAAGTTGTTCTGGACGGCGTGGCAAAAACCAATCGCGTTTGGCGCGTCGGACAAAAAGCGGCCGACATCGCTTTGAACTTAAAGCAGTTCCTGTTTTCAGGGTTCAGACCGGAGCTGCGGAGCAAAACCTCAACTACCCACGAAGTCCTGCCATCAGGTCAGCCTGAGCCTGGAGCAGTTGACGTCCGACGAGGCTCCCCAGGTCTTGCATACAATCTAGGACCTAGGACTTAGGATTTCTGCTTGAGGGCTGCTCTGAGCCCGTCCGGCTCGTCCATCAGCAACCCCTGGACTTCCAGATGCCGCAAAGTTTGCAGAGCTCTAGCTGGAGCCGCGAGCCACGACTGAGCCAGGAGTCGGCTGAAGCCGATTCTGTGAAGGCCGGACGGCTTTCGGGTTTAGGGAAAAGTGGGCCGGAAATCTTCAGAAGCTCAGGCTGTGTCCTCAGTCCCGTCTTTGTCGGTAGGAGCACGCCGGAACATCGGAAATGACATCATGGGTTTGTAGTCATTCTAGGATCATAGAAGAACTCCAGAGGGAAGAACCCCTGATGATCCGCTCCAGACCCTGCTCACAACCCGATTGAGACACTGTTTGAGGGATCACATCCCGCAGCAGTGGTGACGTTCCAGAGCCTTTCGTTTCAGCTGCGCATACCGTCTGACCTTGCAAGTACAATCGCTGAAGACCTATACATATACCTCACCATGCCCTACTCTAGGCCCCGAAAGCCTTTTGTGTTCGAGGATGTCAAGGCGGCGCGGCGCGAGCGCAAGAAGGCCTTGAAGGTCACGGCCCGTGAGGGGCCAGGGCCAGGGGTTTTTGAAGCAGAAAGATTGCGCCGTCAACTCTGTACCCTGGGTTCAGGGAAACCCCCCAAACCTGCAGACAGTGCTTTCCGGTCGAAGTCATGTGCGCGGCGGCGCGGCGGGTCTTTCATTACTGGTCCCTTGCGTGCTCGTCGTTATGAGCAACGTCCTCCTATTCAGGTTCTTTGCTCGAGTTCCCTTGTCTGGCACGCACTTATGGCAGCGTCGCAACTGAAACGTCTCCCGAGCCTTCCGGAGGCCGAACGCCGGGCCAAGCGCGCCCAGTCTCCAGAGGCTCCCAGCTGGTGACAACTTCGGGGATTTTTACAGGGCCTCCATACGGTAGACCCATTGCGAAGTGTGCCAGCAGCACATGGCATATCTGGTTGTTATATAAGAGTATTGTGCTAGACGGATGTCCGGGAACGCCTAGAAGTTCTCGGCCAAACTAGTCGCTTTAATGTGCTGGAGATAGCACATGGCCTTTTCCGATCCAATGCATGTGCATGTAGCTTGACCAAATTCCTCAACGTTACTCTGACAATCCCGAGAGCCTAAAACATGGTTCTTGTCGTTAGGCGAGGTGGTTAGGCTTATACTTGGAAAGGCCTCCCAGGGTTTCGTCAGGAGTCGTTTAACCGCAGAGCCACCGTATCGCCTTGGTCATTGGAAGGATTCTTCTTCCCCGAAAAGTGTGGTACTAGTCTGTGGGTTCCGCGACCTCTGTGCGAAGGTTGGATTAAAATGCAAATTTTCCATAGCCGACTCGGGACCCGTCGGCTTTGCTTGGTGGAGTTTTATGGAGTTGGCCATCGCAGCTGAGTACTGCCACATTCGCGGGGCACATCGTCTTCATCGCACAGTCCTGTGTGGTTGCGCCCTCACCTCGCGAGATCGTGCTCTCGCCACAGTTTGTGAGACTCATGTTTCCAACGCAGGAGCGTGCCGCAGCTAAGCGAAAGCCCTGTACTCTGTGCCAGCGGCCCGTCGACTTGACCGGGCCTTACGCATGGATTGCGCTGCGGGCCTGTAGGGGCCTGGGGAGACTCAACTACAAAAACTGAAGGCATGGGTGTGTGTGTGTGTGCCTCTGGCTTACTTTGTTCGATTATTTGATTGTGGTTGGCATGTTGCAGTCATAGGTGATCAGTGCTTCTTCGGTATGGCATCATGCTGGGCCGATCCCGGCAAAACTGGAAACTGGCATTTGATCTTTGACAACGGCTGCACAAACAGCCCAGGCTTGTTCGATGCCGCATCGACATCTCCCAGAAGTGGCACATGCCTCACACCAAGATCACCTGCTCCACAGCCAGTCCTAGTCTTCAAATTCATGAGACGAGGAGTGTTGCATCTATTCCCCAAAATTTCCCCAAGCCGTGCGGCAACACTACAGGGTTCTAAAGTTCGGAGTTATATAAGGGATCAGATCGCTGTCCGTTCGACGCGCGCGCGGGGCGCCTTTGGGACTATCGTGAAAGTTCCGGGTCTACACTGACATGGCATTAGTCATAGGTGCGCAGCTGGTAGTCCGAAGGAGACGATCAAGCACTAAGTCACTGAGCGGAGTAAGCCTCCTCGAGGCTTTGTGGCCGCTGCTGGAAGAAAGAGTCCGGAGGAGTTCCGGATGGGGATGCTTCGCGGGAGCCTGTGGTGACGTTACTTTTCTGCTCTGCTTGTAGATTCGCTGCTGGCGTGCACTGGGAGCTCTTACCTTAATTTTATTTTAAGCCAGCCTCAGACGCTATTGAATCCTTGTTTTGCAAACTCTAGACCCCCAGCCAAATTTTAAGTGAGGTCGGAAAATGGCACATGCATACAGCGCACGGTGTGTTTATAAGTAGTGAAGTACGACAACGTCGCTAGCTACACGACTACTCACAGACGCATATACTCAGGGTGAAAAAAACCACTGCCCATGGAGTAGAATATGATCCCAAGCTGAGCTTTGAAACATCTCACCTTGCTACACACCTTTCTTAACCCTGGCACTCTTCCATAACGCATGTGAAACACAGTCATCGTATATCACTCTTGAGTTCTACGGCAGGTACGTCAGTTCTGCGTCCAGAACTGCTATCACAGACAATGAAGAGGTGTCTTCGTTAGCACCTGACCTCTTCATGTCCCAGGTGCCCCCTGCATTTACAAAATCCTTGGAAACAGGATGCACACACACAGAGACAAGCTCACAAACGTCGACCCGACAAACGCACAAGTTGCCTCGCGCACAGCCCGAAAACGACTGTCGAGCCTTGATCTGAATTCCTTCTAGATCCCGAACAAAAACCAACCCCGAATCGCTAATCCATGAAGCACAAGAATGCACAAAACCAAAGCAAGACCTGGTCCATTTGAACCTTGCGGCCCAGACACCCTCACTACCGATACGGTGGCCTGTGGAAGAATCGGTCGGCCAAGGCACTGACAGGGTTTCGTATTTAGGGTTGCGGGCGTTTTGCGTCTCAGAGTTTCAAAGTTTTAGGGTGGTGTTATGCTGGTTTTTGGACTTCCGAGGTTTAGAGTTTCAGGACTGGGTTTCCGGATTTCGGACTTCATTCGCAAGTTTGGGTTTTAGGCGTTTTTGCAAGGGGCTTGTGCACACGCTGCTTCGCGGGCACTTTCCTTCGGGATATCTTCGAGTAAACTGACTTCGTGAGGGTTCCGGGCAGTGTGTTCCAACAGCTGTGTCCCAGTTCAGGGGTTGTAGACTTTCGGGCTTCTGCACTGACGCTGTTCCATGGTTTGGGTTTGGCTACGGTGAGTTTAGCTACTGAGTGAGACAGCCCGTGCAGTCAGACGTTTTGACAAATGGTCCCGGATGATGCTCTCGAGTATGACAGGGAAAGCATCAGCATCACGGGTTGTACTCGGTTGTACGTGCTGAATCCCGTTGGACACCGGCTGGCTCCATGTAATGCAGGTTGAAGGGGGCTCTCTCGTTAGTGCCGTGAGTGATTATCTAGCAGACATCCTAGCAGAAGGGTCAGCACTTCCACAACGAAAGCTGCGTAGTGCAAGTCGTGCAGGCGATAAGGGCGCCAAAAACCGGTGATAACCGTCTAAGTCTTCAATGCGCGCATACAAGTAGAAGACGCGAGACATGTAAGCAAACGTTGCAACACAGATTCTCTGAACTGAACACCCTCCACAGAGCCCCTGCGAAGCCTTCAAAGCCCGACTGCCGTACCGCCCTTTGGAAGCTCCTCCGTCCTGAGGTTACCACGCCCAGCTTCTCGGGAGCGGTCAAAACGAAGGCCGCCGCGTGAGCTTGCCCTTGCTTGTTTTATTTGCTTTTTTTTTGTTGGAGCTTTTCATTCTGTCGCAGGTCGGCATGTTCTTGCCTTGTGTCGCTTGTTGCTTTCCTCAATGCAGGCATGTGTCGACTGGAATGCCAGTATGCCTGCCTTTGACTGCAGCGCCGATCATCAACCGGGAAAACTAGTGAGACACGCATTCACAGTTGACGCCGTGACTGCAACATCAAGAACACCATAGCACAGACCCTGGACAAGGACTTCGCCAAACATAGGCCCGACAGCCGCCGACCGCCGTCGTGAAAGCAGGTCCTTGTGGAACTAAGCCCAGCTTAATGCGAAGCCCGGCCCAGGAGACCTGCGAGGAGGACTTCGACTCAGCAGAGCGGCTGCTTCAGGAAGCCTACAAAGGCCGCGGCCGCGGGCGGGATGATTTCAGAGATGGAACCGATTTGAAGCAGCAGCCATCCTTCACCTGTCGACTTTATGCTCTCATGTTTGCTTTGTTTCGAGTCGCACCGTCGCGATGGTGGCACTGTGCATGATTTGTAGCAGTATGTAGCAGTTTAAAGCCGGCAAACCACCCCGCAAGACAGAAGCTGTGAGAAAAATTGATTTCAGAGAGCTCCTGCGGTCATTTCTCCAGTGCAATCGAAAGTAGCTCGTGTGTGCATGTGTGCTGTGGCCGATGCGTCCGCCGCCTCAGCCCACACAATCAACCCTTAAAGCTTGTCGAATTCGACATTTCAGGCTTGAGGGTGTTGGAGTCTAGAACAGGTCTAGGATCTCAGGGCTTGAAGGTAAGATCTTCGAGTCATGTGGTTGAGCACGACCGCGCGAACATTCCAATTCGTAAGCCTTAGCTTTTTTGTGTTTAAGCTCTACAAACCTGCAGGCATCCTCTCCGAGACCAGAAATTGTAAGGCACTTTGGACAACCTGAAGCCAAGGAGGGGAGGGAGGGAGGGAGCGGAAGATGGGGGAAAAAGAGAACGATACAGGCGAGGAGGAGGTAACGGAGGGGAAGGGACGGGAGGGGAGATTGATCCCTTGCTCGCAAATGGAGGCATTGGCACAAATCGTTAGAAGCCACCGTTTTCAGCATCACCGTGTTTAGCATGTGCTGTCGCCTTGCCGAACTTTACCTGGATGGGTTCTTAAAGTTCCAGCAGTGTCAGTAGAGGCTGTATCGACGACGCACTTGCCAATCAAGATCGGGTGTTAATTTGGACTCCAGCTCCAGCAGCCTCAAAACGTTGGCTTCGTCTTCGGAGGGGAGTCAGATCGAACTCAACACCTTAAGGAACGTCGCCCACAATCCAGGTGATCAAATTCTGCACAAGCCCCTGAATTGCTGACTCTGGTGCACTGCCTCGCTTTGCCAGGTGGCTGAACAGGCGGAGATGCCAGTCTGGCTGCACGTAATATAGAGAAGCGCAGCACGACGGTAAAGGTTGATATGTTGGGTTTGTTTTTGGCCCTGTGCAACTATGCAGCCTTGAATGCATTAATACGACATGATCTTGACAAACAGACATGGATCCACACATTCGCCTGTGAATCGAATTCGGGCATGCTTTAGCCAGCGGCACAGTGTGCGACTGTCACTGGCACTTGTTGTCTATGGGACTGAAGTTGTAAGGCCGGTATGATCTAGGAATCTAGGGCTCTAGGCCGGGAGTTTGCCTGGGAGGTGTTGAAGGGCAGGGTTTCACTCGAGTTGTTCTCCGTCTGGCTAGCGGCTAGAGGCAACATCCACAGACAACAGACGCCCACTCGAGCTTAGTCGGCTGGGATACGCAAAGCGATTCCCAAAGACGAACATATGTGCGTCTGCGTGCGCGCATGTGAGCCATTTTCGCCAGACGGCCAATTTTCTGCTGATGAGTGGCAGAGCCTCACGTCTTGCCAGTCTCTGCAAACACAGGAGCTTCGCACTTGCGGACACATGCACGCGCAGTGCGAGCTATCAAGGAGATGAGGCAGTGTTTTTTATGCCTATGTGGTGTGTGCTAGGATTTCATGTGATTTTGAGCGGCTCAGGAGTCTGCGAGGTGGAGCGAAGGAGGTTCTCTAAGCGTGAACTCTGGGACTCTGCCGGCTTTTTTGGAGGACTTCTTTGGGAACCCCGAAGCCCTAAACCCTCTTACGAGCTGCAGCCGTACAGCACCTCGAAAGCTGTTCTGGCCGACGGCGCACTGTCGTAGAGACCGAGGTGAGCCTTTGCCGCACTTGCTTACCGGGTTTAGTGTTGAAGCTGAGGCTGTTCAGGGCTTTAGGCTTTGATTTGAGTTGTTCACTCGGGCTTCATGGGAGGTCAAGGCAGACAGTGCATGTCTTGACCAATGGTCCAGGCCCAGGCTCTGAGCAGTGTCGGGTAGTGACTGGAGTGCAGGCCTGACCCCTTTGCCTAAACCCGGTGATGTCGCAGATGATTCCAACTGGGCATCTCCGTTCATACTGCTTGCCGTTGTTTTGCTCACCTGACTCAGCATTGTAGTTTTCGCAATGTCGAGCCGTGATTGCCATCGTCGTCGTCGTCATAGTAGTAGCGGAAGCAGCAGCAGCGGCGGGAGCATGAGCAGCAACCGCAGTAGTAGAGACAGTGGCCGTGCAGTGATATTCGGGGTAGGAGTAGTAGTCGTAGTGGTGGCACAGCAATCATCGTCGTCGTAGACCTCCTAGTCCTAGGTTGTTGTTGTGGTCGTCGTCCTGCTGTTGAAGGACGGCAAATTAACTGCGCAACTCAATGCAGAGTCTTTTCTTTTTGCGGTAATGCTGGTAGTAATGCTTTCTTTCGGTTTCACTATCCTGGAAGCCTTTGTGTCGTTGAATGCAGGCACAGGAAAACCAACCAGAAAATATCTTAGAGAACTCTACAGCCAAAGGCGGGCCTTCCGATTGCGCCCCGGCGACAGCATGCCTCGTGACGATTCCGGTGCTTCATCTCAGAAGTTAGACTTCAGGTGTTTCAGGCTTCGGCGAGGGGAGGTGGTCCACTTTACGGCTGCCTGGTCTTGTGGCAAGTGTGCACATACATACGTACACACATATACATACCATACAAGCATAGATACCTAACTAACCTACCTAACTAGCCCACCTCACCTACCTAGCCTACCCAGCCTCCCTACCTAGATTCAGTCAGTCACTCACTCATTCGTTCACCGTGAATGCTGTACGGGTATGATCATATATTTAATTTAATATTCCTACAAGTATTTAAGCCTGTATATATAATACATCGTACATACACAAAAAATTTAGACGTATAATGCAAACAGACAAATCTTTGTGTTTGACTTCTCTGCCTGTGTAGGCATCCGTCGTACAGAGTAAAAAAGAAAATCGGTTGGATGATAGCAAGTCAGATGCAGATTGCCGCACACACACACGCACACACACACACACACACACACACCATGATCCACACCACCGTTCTTGTCGACTGTTCGTCTACAACTCCACAGTCTTCCGCCTCTGCCTGTCTGCTATATATAGAAAGCATCGTCATTTCTCTGTTTGATTGATCCTTACCACTACATTACCTTTTCTACTTGACATGTAACGGATTCTGATTGCCATTCCGCGCTGGCCTACCAATTTTTCGTCGGCAATGCGGAAAAGGAGGCTCCTCTCAGGTAATAAGACACGAGAAAGAACCTGTGCTTTCGCATGACCAGCGTATTTCTCTTCATGACAAAGAAAAACACTTGTTCCAGAGAGAAGTCCATTTCCATCACATTGAAGTATACGAACGCCTGTATCCGCCTGTCAGTGGACAGAACAGACAGGGCTCATACAATCTGTCAATAACAAACAGAACACTACGGGGCTATTCGTTTGAGGCTTTTGGGCTTTTGATCCCTGCGGATGGCCTGGCTCAAAAATCCCCAAAGTTTCCAAAAGCAGAAAGCCGGAAGGGCAGGCACAAATCCTTGCATCCATGGCGATGTTTGAGCCATAGTTGCTCAGCTCTGGACGGTCAGTCGTGTCTTTTTGATCCTGCCGAGGTTGGAGCACTCCAGGTGTTCCTAGAGTAGAATTTGTCTGTGGTTCCGTGATCCCTGACCTTCGCATCCCAAGTTGCCAAAATTCCGCCAGTTTCAAAAATCCCTCAAATTTCCACACCAGGAATTGCGAAAGCTTTGGCAGGGATTGAAAATTCCACAATGGCCCAAATCATGACATCCATTGCGGGTATAGGGTGTTTGTTGACTCAACCGAGTTTGTTCGCAGTTCAGATTGCTCTTAAAACTTTGAATGAATTTTGATCGCTGTCGATGTGTCCCCACATCCTGGATCCAATACAAAGAAGATGCTGATATGGATCATTGTGGGGGTGAGCACGTGGAGGATACGGAAATCCTTCTGGTTGCTTCCGAGGAGATCGCCGCGACAGCCGTGACCGAGCCCCCAGGTCTTGAGGGGTCTTGGGACTGCAAGGGCTTTCGAGGGCGGCCGTCGGGGTCTATGGCGTCTGCTTCTGCTCCCGGCCTTGACACGACCAAATATTATGTTAATAATACATTATGCTATGATATCTTATTGTATATCATATTACTTGTGATACTTGCAGGGTGGCCAGGGGATCCATAGGATTGTTTCCTCGGCGCCTGCCAGGTACAGCCCTCGCCGACCAAGTCCCCGCGGAGCAAGCCCACCACGAAAGGATAGCCGTGACCGAGGTGGAGTGCGGAACGGAGTGGAGCCATAAGCTGAAGCCTCCAAGTTTGTAGAGTCGTTGCAGAGATCCTCCTGATCAAGACGGAATACCGTACAGGTCGGTAGGGCGGCGTGGAGTGGGCTTACAATGCAAGCTGAAGGCCGAACGGTCAAGTTCGGTTGCCACGGCATTTTGCTTCTTGCCTATTTCCAAATGATATTTGAGTCCTGGCGAACCATGCTCCCCCTCTCCCTGCCTGTCCCTGTCTCTCGTCCGTGTCTCTCTCTGTATCTCCCTCCAGAAGGCATGCTCCTCTCAGCATGATCGAGCATGCATAGTGCTATTACGCACTGCCACTATTTCGCGAATTCGTCTGAACAACCGCTCCGCTGTACTTCTGCAGGCAGGGGCGGACGAGATTATGACGCATGGCAGCAGTATCGCATGCATTCATGGTCGGGTAATGTCGGGTAGTACTTCCGTTCAGAGCATGCCGCAGCCATACCTCGCACGAGCATGCTCCATGCAACACCTCCGAGTTGTCATCCCCACACGTCTGAGGAGAAGCGTGACCGGAGCTACGACAGGCTCCTGCCTTGTTCTCTCCACCGAACTCCCTGTAAAGGTCATTGCAGTTCCGCATCGTTCCCTTTGACTGCGTAATCACCGGCAGATAATCGAGACGACTGCAAGCCAAGAGCGAACTCAAAAGCAAAGTTGACAGGGATGCAGGCCGCGACCGCTCCCGAAGAGATGATCGCAGGTGCATCAATTTCCGTCTATGTTTTGCGTGTTCTGGGTTTTTCTCGACTCGATGCTCTTTTCAGAGCACCCGGTGTGTGGAACTCGTCGCTCAGCACCTCTAATGTGCACAAACAGGGCAGCTGAACCCCCTCGAGTTTGAACCCAAGCGTTACAGGGACTATGACCGCGACCGCTCTCGGAAGTACGGTGGAAGGCACGGAGCATCTCTCCCTGCACGGCGTTGAAGTTGAAGGGCAGAGGTGTCTCTAGAGTGACATACCCATAGGGCCCTCGTGCTTTCAGAGTATTTGTCGCTACTTTGCCAGGCTTGTGCATCGCTCTTCACACAAAGTCAAAGTCTGACTGCTGTTTGTGGTTGAATTTTTGACCGACTTGCTGTAACCCCCGCGATACCCGCTAGTCTTTCGACAATCTGCAATCCATTAGCTTGACCCTGAAACAATTACGTGGCTTCCGGTTCAGGAATCAGGAAGTCGGAGAGTCGGAAGATTTTCTCAGCTTGCTCCTGAACTCTATCCGAACTGGATAGCTACCAGTCCTTGTTGTACATTCGCCGATCCGCCGTCCTATTTGTTGAGCATTGATGAACCCCCGCTTTCCTGCTCTATCTCTGTCTTGTTCTCCTGAAAATGACTGCCTGAGTCGGCATTCACCTGTGCCCAGTTCGCCACAAACGGAAGACGGAAAAATGCGCATGCCAGCCTTTCGCCCTCCAGAAGGTCCCGCGGAGGTGACAGCCGCGACCGCCGAAGTGACCGTCGCGATGTGCGTGTCCAGCCTTGAGTCGGGAGTCACCACTCAGAGATGGAATGTAGAATCTATAGGGTCGAAGGGACTCATCCCAGCTCTACTTGGTCTTGGGATTTCACCGACATCGAATCCCAACCCTTGAGTCCTCCGCTGTCCCCGCATGAACATCCCACAACTGAGGCAGCTCTCGCTACGATCGTGATCGCAGCCCCCGTCGAGAGACCGGACCGGGTGGAAGGTCAGGGTTCTTGCGCCGAGGTTCTTTCGGAATCAGGGCTTGCCCTCGGGGCGACGAGATCAAAACACGTGGCCACCTGAATTGCTTGAAAGCTGGCACATCAAGGTCTGCGTGAGCACCAAAAATAGAGCCTGCAGAGCACATCCTTTCGACTATGTACTTCGCTGCTGCACAGCTTCCGGTGGGTTCCACTTTTCGTGGAGCGTTCCTCCGGCCAGGTTTACGATTTGTCTTCTTTGTTCCTTTCACTACCAGTATGCAGAAGCACGCAACCTGTCAGATTTGACGTGTGTAGCCGGGCTATACCGCGGAGCTGACTCAAGCTACAGTACTTTGCTGAGCACGCTGAGACCTCTTCCATACAACTCCGTGCCCTGCACAGGCCTAGCGGCAACTGGGGCGGAGTGCCTTGTCCAATCATGGCCATTGGTGGGAGGTGGTGACGGCATGGTGGGCCTTTCCATGGCATGTGGATACCTCTGGAGTGCATGGTGGCAGGGAATGGCATCCTGCATCCGAAATCCTCCGTCTCCCCAGAGTCCAGATGCTTTAGCCCCTCTTTCCTCCAAAGCTCGCACCCCTCTGTTTGGAGGTCTTGCGCAGTGGCATGGCATGTGTGGAATCGCATCGTGTGGCATGGTGTGGGTGTGGCTGGTGCCGGAAAGCTGTCGCTTAAGCCACGATGGGCACAAACACTGGAGTGGATTGAACTAGTGGAGTAGCTTGGAAGGGCCTTCTTGGTCGCCTGAGTTTTTGGATGGCAGGAATGGCCTTGCTGCTTGGAGCTTCGAGCATCATGCATGGTAGCATGGTAGGTTTTGGCCGTGTTGGGCATTTCGTGCGCATTTTCGATCTGCCGTGACGCTCAGGACTGGGAGTGTGAGAAGTGTGGCTGCAACAATTTTGCCCGTAGAAACGAGTGTTTCAAGTGCGGCGCACCCAAGCCAGCCTCCTAAATGTCTCACCCGGCGGTGGCGGCCCGCGGAAGTGTACATAAGTATATACCAGACGGAGCTCAGGCGGTATTTACGAAAAGCTGCATACTGTCGGGTGTAGATTCTTAGATACTATGCTGGCTTAGTCCGATCTCGGTGAAGTGTTGCAGCAAAGGAAACTGGTCATAACTGGTCAGTGTCGGGATTCTCGGTCGACAAGGCACCTGACACTTCAAGCGAAAGGTTCATGAAGTTGCAGTTCCCGTGCCCCTTGGAGAGTGCCGCCGTGGAGGTGAAGCAGCCTCGCCTCTTGCTTTTTTGAGGGGTTTGAGGTTGGACTTGCTGCGCTCCACCGGCAGCCATATGGCCAAGCTCCTTCTGTCCTTGTCAGCGTGTACGTTGCGGGGTCCAGTGTGAGACTTGGTGGCATTTGAGAGGTGGTTCTTGCTGGGGCAGGCTTGAAGTATCTTGAAGTCTTGCTGCATGCGACTCCGAGTTTGCCACGAGGGGGCTTCTGCAGCGCGCACACTGCCCCAGGAAATACCAGAGCCATGCCTCGCGACGATTCCGGCATCTTACCTAGATTAGATTGTTGGTGCGAACTTTCGAAGTTTGGAGGCGTGTGCTCTTGAGCTTTCACGGCTTGGGCTTCCGCTCGGCCAGAGTTGGACATCGGGGTCTATGTGCTCTTTGGAGCGATTCGCGGCTCCTCGTCCTTCTGATCGTTACAACGTCATCGTCAAACCGGCGATCTTTGTTTCAAGCATTGCCAAGATCCTGAATGAGAGTGCGAAACTACGTTGTTTGTCGTGCTGAATGCAGGCGCCGAACCTCTAAATACCCTTCACGCCCTCAAAGGCCTAAAGTCTTCAAAGCCAATGGCAGACCTTGAACCAGGACTCCACGACGCTGCACGACTAGCGAGAACTTTCTCGCAACCTCTCAGGTGATCGGCGCGACAGCCGAGCTCCTGACCGAGCACCAAGGTACTCTTGGGTTTGCCATTCGAGTTGAGGGCCATTGCTTGGCATCATTTCAGCAGTTTCGAGCCCCTCCATGCCAACTGGCCTAAGTGTGCATAGCCTTCAGCCTTCTTTGGACTCGGCTGCAAGTGCATCTCAGATCTTCTGAGGGTTTGAGCCAGAAATGTGTTCAATATACCCTTCATATCTGGCATTAGCGAGACTGCGGGCGTCCGGGATTTTAGAGAGCAAAAAAGCAACTGGACTAGCTTGTTGGGTCGTTTTTTCGTGTAGTTCTCCTATTATCGGCTAGGTAGGTCTGGAATAGGAGGGTCACACTGCAGCATGAGTTCAGCATGCTCTCTTCTGACTTTTGTTCACCACGTTGATCCGTGGCCATTTTGGGTCGAGACGATCGTCTCGATCCGTGAAGGATCTTTTTGTTGGTCAGGTGAAGTCTAGGGCCTGGGTAGCTTTCGCTCGAGCTATGGCTGGTTGGGGTCAAGACGCCTGGGGTCAGCAGCAGGCTGATCAGCCTCAGCCCTATGCTGGTTACCCTAATCAACCTAGGGGCCAGTGGGGAGGTCAGAACCAGCACGATCGCAGAGAGAGGCGCCAACGCCGCGATCGTGGTGGCGATCGCTTCCCAAATGCTGCTCACAACCCCTACGAGGTTCGTCTCCCCCCGCACATTGAGTCGATCGCTACCTGTGAGGACGACGATCGCAAGACCTCGATCATCATGGTCGACAACAGAGACGACAGGATCGTCTCGCCTTTTCAGGCATGGCTGGTCCGGGAGATCATGACGAACGCCTCCTCCTCGACGAACGTTTTGACGGAGAGAGATCAAGTCATGACTCCCAGTTCTGGGTACCACATGTCGCTCTTTGCCAACTACACTCTGGATGGCATAAAAGCGACACTGGCGATCTCAGTGGACTCTACGACAGGAGTTCCCTGTGGAGACTGGTCTGCTCAGACCGCCAAGGCACTCGCCCACGAGGCTTTTCAGCCTTTCTCGTGGCCGGTGCTCAGGGACACGTCGCCATCGTACACCGACATCAAGGTGTACAATGGCAATGAGATCCTCTTTCACTGGATCCTGAGGGGATACCGTGCCGACTCCGATCTGTCGGTTCAGCAGCAGTTCGCTGATGAGCTGCTGATCCGCGATGTTTGCCGTGGTCGGGTGCGGCTCTCGGTCGTGGTTGCCGCGTTCACCGGCTGGAAGTGCTCCGTCTTCTCGTTCGAGTGTGGCGGTCGCACCTACTCTGTGGGCCCTCAGGGCGTGGTCGTGGCTGGAGATCATGCCCGCTCGAGGTTCGAGCTCCGAGTGTGCAGCCGCTCTTCGGAGGATGCGGTCGGGAATGACGCCGATCGGCTGGAATTCCGCTATCGGGATGCCAACAATCGCATGGACTTGAAGTGCGCTCGCACTTCGGTCCCGGCGACGTGGTTGACGGTCTCCCACATCAGCGGGCCTACGCTCATTCAGGCCATCACCCGGTGCCGTGATCAGCGGGCACGGGTGGAGGGGCCTGAGCAAACTGAGCAGTTCGCTCAGCTGGCGGCCGCTCACCAAAACTGGTGGCACAATGCTCTCACCACGGACTATGCCAATATCGGTGTGTTGGTCTCGTTCGTGGGCGGCCTTGATCATGGCAACTTCCACGTGCAGTGCGAGAGCAAGCTCTACGTGATGCAGGGGGCCGTGGTCTCAAGGGCGGCGCTCGCCGAGATGACCCACACCCAGGAGTCGGCTTCTCCGCTGCCGTTCGGCCCACCTGCTCTTGCTCAAGGGGCTTGGCGGCAGGCGGCAGTCAGCTCCGACACCGCCGTGCCGGAGACTTCTCAGGTTGCAGTTCGCAATCGCAACCGGGCGGAGATGGAGTCCCGGGCGCTCGCCCCCGAAGATCGTCCACGTGCTCAGCCGGTGGACTACGATCAGAACGAGGAGGAGGGCACCCGTGGGCACATGATCGACGCTGCCAGGGACGATGCTCGGCAGGATCGTTCCTTTGCTCGCTCTACGGCAAAGCTCACACCGGCACAGTTCGCCGAGCTGGCCGACTCGTACCACAACCCGGCTGGTCACGCCGCCTCGTCGGCAGCTCAGTCCTCCACGGTCGTGGTCGAAGAGGCCGAGCCGGAGAACCTGCTGGCTCCATCAGGGGAGCCGACCTCGTTCAGGCCGCACCGCACGCCGTGATCGAGGCCAAGCGCGGAGGTGCTCACCCGTTTTGATCCTAGGGTGTTCACCCAAGATGCCGGGAAGGCGATTTAAGTTCTCGCTCGCATTTTGGAGCCACGATCGCTCCCGCTCGGGCGCAAAATTCTCGGAAGGCCGCCAGAGAACAGGTAGCAGTTCTGCACATGTTTTCAATGGTGATGTTCTTTCTTTCTCTCTCTTGCAGGTTCAGTGCAACATGTTCACAGTGCGTGGCAGTCATGTCGTTCGTCGTTCGCCGTGCCGTTCGGTTGGCCGGGAAGGTTGGTCGGGGCGCGGCGGCGACGATGCTCATGATGCTGATCTTCTTCTCTTCTTTCGCTAAGTTTTGGCTCGGCAGGATGTTGCGGGAAGCAGCGCCAGCCGATCGCTGGACAGCGAAGATCCTTGCTTACCCGTGTTTCGACCATGGGTTTCGCCAGGCGATCGTGGCGACTCGGCTTGCGGAGATCCCATTCGTCCTTTCGATGGACGCCGGGACGCCCGAGCAGTTCGCCGCAATGTCTCTCAACTGGACGGCCAGCTCGGCTAAGTCGGAGCACGACCTCCTGGCTCCAAGGACCCAAATGCTCGAGCAGTATTGGGTGTTCGTAAAGGCAGCGGAATCGCTCTTCGTCGAGTCTCTCGGCTACCAGATGGGCTTTGTTCGCTGCTCCAAGGTGCCTAGAGAGCGGTCTGCAAAATCGATCGCACATTTTCAGCGAGAGATGGCCGTTCGTGCCCTGGCTGCACCAGTTCTGGCTCCCTCGGCTAGACCGCGGCTGCCGGCAAGCTCTTCTTCTCCCTCGGCGACTCCACTGCTCGACTTAGAGAACGCCGAGAAGCAGAAATGGGCTAAGCGCCTGAAGGCGATCGCCGATCGGGCCGGCGAACATGCTCGGCCCGAAGGGGTCCACGATGCTGAAGGGATCCTTTCAGAAGAGGAACGTGCTCGCCTTCGGTTGTTGGTTTTCACCTCAGGGGCGCCTTCTACCATGGCAAACCACATTCGAAGGTTCGAGAAGTTCGAGCTGTGGGCTCGGCACGTGCCGCTCCCCCTCTACCCTATACTTGGATCGTCGCTGTCGGTTATAAGTGTTTACCAGACTTGGGGGATTGCTGCTATGTGGGCCAAAGGACTTGTTATATCAAGTATATCAATTTAACAAGTGTGATAACATTACTTACTAAGTCTAGTTTGTCTGATATTTAATTATCTTTTGTTTAGGAGACATAATAACTGACGAGGGTTCTTCTATTAAGTGGCCTAAATGAATATGCCACTTAGTATTTGCCAGGAGGGAGTTATGGATAAGTGGTGTAATGGTTTTAGGTGACTTACTATAAGTAGATATAAGTAATCTCCCAGCACTTGTTAATCAGATACATCACTTATGGCAAATCGTATAAGTGCACTTATCGTAAGTCTCGTAAGTGACTTACAGTCGATTTAGCTAGCTGTGGTCGGGTCCAGCGCTGGTTTATTTTCCACTAACTTTGCGCATGGCAACTTTATTTTTAAATAAACTTGCGCATGGCAACTTTATTTTTTGATAAACTTGCGCATTGCAAGTTTATTTTTTAATAAACTTGCACGCGGACAGTTTATTTTTCAATAAACTTTTTTGACCGGGGTGAGCACAAGCCAATAACTGCCAAGATTTACTTATAGGACTTACCCTAAGTGACTTATAAGTCACCACGATGACTTACCAAGTGGACTTATGTAACCGACTTAGTACCACTTACATAACCCTTGTAAGTTACTTATGTGTAAGTGCTGCAAACGGATATTTCACGTCTAATCATTTATCTAAGTCGCTTAAACACTTATAAGCCAGCCCGACGATCCAAGTATCGGATGACAAGATCTTGAAGTACGCCATGGAGCTCGACTCGCGGGAATGCGGCCCAACTGTTCTTCCTTCGCTCCGCATGGCTCTAAAATGGGTCGCTTTTAGGATCAACCTCAAGCTCCCTTCCATCGAGACGGCGGAGCTCAAGGCACTCGAGAAGGAGATCTTCACGCAGCGAGGGCGGCCGCTGAAGGAAGCGATCGCTTTCCCGCTCGAGCTGGTCCAAGCGATGGAGCGCTTTGTCGCCAACGAAGCTCACCCTGTGCCTGCTCGGGTTTTCCTTTGGTGGGTCCTCTGCATGATCTTCGCGTCGCTCCGCTTTGACGACGCGATCCACGTGAAGCCCCACGAACTGGAGGTCAAACCCGACGGTCTGTTCGGGATCTCCTGGCAGACCAAGACTGAGAGAAAGCGGCGCGGCACCAAGTTCATGGTGCCGGACGTTGCCTTCTCGAAAGTGGCTTGGTTCAAGATCGGAAGTGACTTGTTCGACGCGCAATTCCCGCTCGTGGAACGCGACTTCTGGATTCCCGAGCTCGACACAAAGGATCGCTGGCGCCAGACTCCCCCTGACTACGCTCGTTCTCTCCAGTGGCTCCACCACTTGGTCTGGCTCGCAGGGCAGGAGTGTGGAGTCGCAAGAGAGTTCCTGGACAAAGTCACCGATCTTACTTGGCATTCTGCTCGAGTAACGATGCTCGATCTAGCGGTCCATTGTGAACGTTCGGAACAGGAGATCGGGGTTCAGGCGAACTGGAAGAACCCGGGCCCGCTCGTTCTGAAGTACACACGCTCGAGGTCCTCTCTTCCAGCCAAGATGATCAAAGAGCTGGTGCAGGAGGTCTCGCGTGAGTTCGTGCCCCTTTGTGCTCAAGAAGATGACACGATCGAGGACGCAGAGGACAGAGATCTTTCCTTGACTGAGTTCTTTGTCAAGGTCCCAGTCAAAGGCTCTAGTTACGACTATCGTTTTCATGTGTGTTCGGCAGACTCTGTGGAAGAGATCGCGTGCAAACGCGCGATCACGCCCGAATTCACACACATCGGGTCTGTTCTGCCCGACCCTAAGCTCTTTTGCAAACTGTGTGCTAAGGCTCGGCCGGACGTGGCTCTCGCCTTTAAGGTCTAAAATTCTGAGCTTTGCTGTGCCTGCTCGCACTTTCTTGGCATCTGAGGCAGTCTCTCGAAGCTCGCTCAAGCTGTGTTTGAAGCTCTTTTGTGTTGATCGGCCATGGTCGACCGCACGGTCTACCCGAATAAGGACAAGACCCCCGAGCTCGCCTTGCGCCAGATCTTTGGCCGGCAGAAGCTCCCGGAGGACCTTTGCCTTCTCATGGCCGATAAAGGCATGCTCTCTGTCGAGCGCATGTCTATGCTCGGGGACTCCATCGCGTCGGTGAAGGCGACGCTCCGTGCTATTGTCGGCGACGACACTCAGTTCGGGGCCGATGGTCCGGCTCAGGAGCTCTCTCTCACGCTCCTGACCGCGATTTGGAAGTCAGCCTCAGTTCTGCAAGAACACGTCGCCTCTCGGCGGGCCAAGATGGAGGAAGATCCATCCAAGATACCAGAGATTCCTGGAGAAGATCATGCCGAGTTTCGCGAGCTCTTTGTCACTCAGCACCCCGACATCATCCTCACCTACATGCGCGAGCCGCACCGCAAGTTCGTCGAGAGGATCCACCGCGACTATATGGTCCATGGGGCGGTCGCGTTCTACGAGGTCGCTGAGATGCGCTCTCGCTCGGACCGCATGGTGCAAACGCCTGGTGTCTCTAAGACCTCAGAGGATCTCCTGAAAGTGGTCCAGCTCGACAACAAGGTGGCGGTCGCCTCGGAAACAGAAGTCATGGACCGCCTCCACTCTTTCTTCGTGGCGCTCGAGTACCTCAACATCTGCGAGTTCACTTTCGACTCGGGGCCCCTCAAGTACCTCTCGGAACTTGAGGAATGGCGCCATGAGAATCGTGGTCTCGCGGTTCTCCTTGCGGCTGATTCCTTGATCAGGAAGAAAGTTTACAAGCTCAACAACGACAAGCGCAAGGACTTCCCCACGTTCTCTCAGGCTCTCTGCGAGGTCCTCAAGAACCACAAGCAGCTCTGGAACGACGCTCGCTCCACCGCAGAACTTGAGAAGTTCCGTCAGGTCGAGCGCGAGTTCGCTACTCCTCCGAAGCGGCCTCGCTCGAGGTCCCCGCCGCCAACGCCCCCGAAGAATGAGGCCAAGACTCGCAAGAATCGCGCTCGCCGGCAGAAAGAGAAGGAGTTGCTCAAACAAGCTCGTGCAGAGCGCGATCGCGCTCGCGACCACGCCAAGCCGAACAAGCCTTCGGTGCCTAAGCTCACAGAGAAGGACAAGGTCGATCGCGACACGCGGGTCCCAGAGAAGGAATGGAAGAAGATCATGTCCTTCTCTTACACTGGAGCTCGCCGCTGCCCATGGTTCAACTGCTCGCTCGGCTGTCGTTTCGGCGACCAGTGCAAGAACAAGCATATCTGCGTGCAGTGCGGGGGTGATCGCCCCTACCATGGCAATCACTGAGTTCCTGCGCCACCGCCGGGGGAGTTTGGTCGTCTCCCCTGGCACTGGTGCTCGACAGACCACCGGGGGATTTCTCTCCTCCCCCGCAGCAGCAGCCGCCGGCTCTGGCTGCTAATGAGGTCTCTTCTCAGAGACTGACAGCTGCCCCTGCAGGTCGGCCGCCGCCCTGAAATCTTTGGGCGGAGATGCCCCAGGATCCGGACACAATCCGCGAGCTCGGGCCCTGGTGCCTGGAGATCTTTGCCGGGTCTGCTGGTCTCACTGCGGCCTGGAAGCGTCACGGTCTTAAGACCTTGCCGCCGATCGACAAGTGCACATCTGAGCTCGTTCTCGAGGCGATCGACTTGTTGGACGCACAGGTCTTTGAATGGCTGCTCTTGCTGTGCCGTATGGGGGCGATCGTCTATCTGCACTTGGGCGTTCCCTGCGCCACGTTCAGTGTGGCTCGGGATCGGCCCGGAGGACCTCCTCCCCTGCGATCGCAAGCGTTGCCACTTGGCCTCAGCGTTCTCAAGCGGCACCATCAGGCGCAGCTCTTCGAAGCCAATGAGCTCTTGTACCGATCTCTTCTTCTTTTCGAGGCTGTGATCCAAGCAGGTGGAGATGCTTCGATCGAGAACCCCAGGGATAGTCTGATCTGGCAGGTCCCTCAGGTTCAGCAGCTCAAAGTTCGTCTTCACCTCTACAACGTCGATTTCGATCAGTGCGAGTATGGATCGCCTCACCGGAAGCCTACTCGGCTCTTGGTCAGTCATGCTGCTCTTCTTGCTCTTGCACGTGCCTGCTCAGGTGAACACGTTCATGTGCCTCTTCGCGGCCTCACCAGGTCGGACACCGGCAAGAAGATCTTCAAGACTAAGGCGGCTCAGGTCTACCCCTCGGAGCTCTGCGCTGCCTGGGCGATCGCCGTGACTGCAATCGTTCAGAGGTCGGCCCAGCAGTTCGCCGCCTCCTTTGCTCTCACGGCTCCGTCAGCAGAACGCAAGCGATCTTTGGGATCTCAGATCTCTTGGAAAGGCCATCGCCAAGCCGCTGCCGCTCGGCTGGCGGCGGCAGGTGGCTATCAGCTCAAACGTGGTGCCGCCAAGCCGTTGCTCGACGTGGAGTGTGAGCCAGGTCAAGCCATCCAATGGTCTCTTCAGGTCCGGCATCCGTTTACTGTTCAGCCAGCGCTCCCCGACAAGATCGTCGACAACATCAAGTTCATTGTCTCCTCTCCACAGGCGCTCGTGGCTCGCCGTTCTGAGCGCCTTCAATTTTGGCAGCAGCGCGCGCTCGCGCTGCTTCCGGAGACCGATCGCATTTTGCGCTCTATTGCCGACGCTCCTCTTCGTCGGCTTCTTCGGGGTGCTCCGGATTATGCTGATCTGCAGCTGGGCTCTTGCACGCATGTGGCGCTCTACGACGAGCTCTTCGCATCCATTGGCTGCGCAGATCATGAAATTCTCCAAGGCATTCGCGGCGGCTTCCCGATCGTCGGCGAAATCCAGCGTTCGGGACGCTGGCCGCCGTTCACAAAGCCGCAGCGGCCTGTACCTGTTCAGGAAGCTCTGGATCGGGCCTGGGAGTTGCGAGCCAAGGTCTTTCGCAGATGCAGGTCGGTTCCTGTTTCTGACAATCTAAGGTCTCTTTGGAACGCCACGCTCGAGGACGTTAAGGAAGGCTCCTCGGTGGGTCCGTTCGGATCCGAAGAGGAAGTCTCCAAGTTCTTGGACTGTTCGGACTGGATCCCGACGCAACGCTTCGAAGTAGTTCAGAAAAACAAGGTCAGAGGCTGTGACAGCGCCACCTCCAACCTGATCAACCAGACCGCGGTGATCACCGAGAAGTTGGAGCTTACTTCCACGGACTTGAATGTGGCAGTTCTGCGCGAGCTCCGCACTAGAGGAGGCGATCGCCCTCTGCGAGGATGGGTCCTCGACGAGAGGAAAGCCTATCGGCAGCTTCCGATCTTGCCCGAGCACAGGAAATTCAGTGTGATCTGCCTGAAGGATCCGGGCGATGGCATCCCCAAGTTCTTCGTAATGATCGGCCACTCCTTCGGGCTCGTGGCGGCAGTCTACAATTATAATCGCCGCTCGGCCCTGATCAACGACATTCTCGTCCGGCTGTTCAGCATGGTCGCCTTCAACTTTTACGACGACAAGTATGGGTTCGAGACCGATCTCACGGCACCGTCGGCTAAGGTCGTTGCCGAGTGCATCCATTTCTGGCTTGGCGCTCTCTTCGACGAAAAGAAGCTCCAGCTCTCGGCGGCGCCGGTGATCTTGGGCGTGACTTTCAACCTTGAGCTCCTAGTCCTTGAGATCAAGGAACAGAGAAAGCAGGAGCTCCTGGACTCGATCGACGCGATCTTGGAGGCGGGTACCTTGGATCCTGGGACTGCGGGGAAGCTCAAGGGCAAGCTCATGTTCGGAGCGAGCCAGCTCTGGGGGAAGGTTGGACGGGCGTTCTTCCGGCCCCTGTCGGAGCGCCAGTACTCGAAGGATCGGTCGAGCGATCGCATGGAGCTCAACCTGGCTCTGGAGCGCTCGCTTCGATACTGGCGGAGCCTCATCATTCATGGTCCTCCGCGCGAGATATCACTCCGCTCGGAGAAGAACGCTGATGTGGTGATCTTCACGGACGGCTTCACCCCCGACTTTCGGAAGTCGGAAGAAGGGGCCGATCGGATCGGAGCCGTGATGTTCGATCGGAGAGCCGACGCCCCTAAGCAGTTCACGGAGGTGATCCCACCGGAAGTATCGGATCGATGGCTCTCGAGAAAGACCCAGATCGTCCCGATCGAGATGATCGCACCGATCCTGGCGCTCGAGACTTTCCGGGATCACGTGAAGAATAAGGACGTTCTCCTTCTGATCGACTCAGAGGCGGTCGAGGCTGCTCTAGTGAAAGGATACTCTTCAAAAGAGGATCTCTGTGAGCTCGTCGAAGTGTTCTGGGAACTGGCTCTCGAATACAGAGTCAACTTCTTTATCGATCGAGTTTCTACAGATGCCAACCCGGCAGACTGGCCATCGAGGGATCGCCTCGAGATTGGCCAAGCTGCAGGATGGTCGACAGTTTTGTGTTCGTGGCCAGCGAAGCTCCGCTAAAAGATCAATGCAGGGCCTGGGAGGTTGCTCGGATTTCGAACGAAGGGAATTTGTTCGAGATGCTCTCGCGTCTGGTGTCCCGGGAAGGGTTCGCCGGTCGCGGGTTCGAGCGACTGCGACGACGACGACTCCGTTCGTGGGTTGTCGTTGTCCTGGGGTGGGGGCCGGTCGTTTCTGATGCTCGTCGGTAGCTCGTCTTGTGACCGCTCAACCCCATGCTAGAGCGGATCAAACATTGCTCGTCCGCTCGGTTTGTGGCATGCTGTTCAGTGAGCTCGCGAGCGTTCGTGCGTGTAGTGTGGTTCTCCTATTATCGGCTAGGTAGGTCTGGAATAGGAGGGTCACACTGCAGCATGAGTTCAGCATGCTCTCTTCTGACTTTTGTTCACCACGTTGATCCGTGGCCATTTTGGGTCGAGACGATCGTCTCGATCCGTGAAGGATCTTTTTGTCCCACCCAACCCGCCCTATTAAGAGGTGGGGAGGTTGCTCGGATTTCGAACGAAGGGAATTTGTTCGAGATGCTCTCGCGTCTGGTGTCCCGGGAAGGGTTCGCCGGTCGCGGGTTCGAGCGACTGCGACGACGACGACTCCGTTCGTGGGTTGTCGTTGTCCTGGGGTGGGGGCCGGTCGTTTCTGATGCTCTTCGGTAGCTCGTCTTGTGACCGCTCAACCCCATGCTAGAGCGGATCAAACATTGCTCGTCCGCTCGGTTTGTGGCATGCTGTTCAGTGAGCTCGCGAGCGTTCGTGCGTGTAGTGTGCTGCAAGTGCATCTCAGATCTTCTGAGGGCTTGAGCCAGAAATGTGTTCAATATACCCTTCATATCTGGCATTAGCGAGACTGCGGGCGTCCGGGATTTTAGAGAGCAAAAAAGCAACTGGACTAGATTGTTGGGTCGTTTTTTCGTGTATATACAAAAATATATGCACATACCGTGTATATCTAAGAGTATATGCACGTATGTGTATGTATATATATATGTATACATACATACACCTATATAGACCTCATTATATCAAGCACAGCATCTTTTAGGCTGAACCCTATGGCCGCGCAACCTTGACCTCTCAGGCAATTGTGCAATGGTGCAAGCTGATAATTGAGCGCTCATAGACAGACCTTGTACGGGAGGGAGGAGTAGACTGAACATGTTCGAGAGCTGGTCGACAAAGCCGTGAGTTCCGAATACTTCGGGGCAGACCAATCTCGTTCTGGCATTCGGCAACCTGTGCAATGAAAATACCCACTGAAGCAAGCACAAGTCGAATCTGACCCTCACCCAGAGACTGGTGTATCCGACACGTACTGAAAAGAGGAAACGGATTCGTTCGAATAGTAGCAATAATGTTCGGGCATCTGCTCTGAGCTCGTAAAGCTAAGTGTCCCTGATGTGTTTAACTCCATCCCGAACTTTGAAACTGCGGCCAAAACCAGAGGGTTCTCCGTAATTTCAGGTTTGGAATCCTCTAGGCTAGGCTTTTACGTGGATTGTGGGGTCGCGAAAGACGCTTCAAAAGATAGAGGGCTGTATGCCAGGGACAGCTCACGCCGACCGAGCCCCCGTGGAGCTCGCGCCCCACGAAAAGACAGCCGTGATCGAGGCACAGGGTGTCCGTAGACCAGCCGAAGCATCACGATCGACGACCATGAGCCTACGTGCAAAACACCCTGAAGCCTTCCTAAAGCTTTTGAGCTTGTTCTTCAACACGCAACTGAGATTGTGTTCAAAATCTCCGGCCACCGAATCAGGCAAGGACGAGTCCTGAGTGCCTTGATTAGGAAGAAAAGACCAACAACGTGAAGCCTGCAATACAAGATCTACAGCTGCATGGTTGGCTACGTTTCGAGAAGTCGCTTCTGGCATTGGATAGTGATTAGAGAGTAACGAAGGAGCAAAGCATCAACAGGACAGTAGATGTGTATCACTAGTTCCGTCACATGGCGGGTGGCATTGAACACTTTCAGGACCGCTTTACTGTCTCCCCAAACGTGATGAGCTCTAAGCCCTAAGCTGCAGGGTTCGATAGCTGAAGCCTGTTTCAGGTAGCCTCAACAGGTCACTCAAAATGAATTCGACCACCAACTTCGGATCTTCATGAGCCGCTCCTGACATGCTGGCTCTCAACTAGTTGCTCATGCAAAGCTCAATTCCGGCTCTGATAGAGGCAGAGGACGAGACTACGAATCGCAGCTGCAATAGACCGCTCCACTTAAGACTTTGAAGGCTGCCCTGCCGGAGCTGCCAACATCTTCGCCTGTGTTGAGACAGCACCTTTCGCGACTTTTTGTTTCTTTTCAGGCGCAGGCGGTGCATGTCCGCCTCGTCTTGAACTGGCATTGAAGCACTCAGGACAAGCGGGACCGAAGCTACGACGACAGAGATGCAGACCGTCGCTCCAGGAGAGGAGATGACCGGAGGTGGCTTGAGGGGCATGTGGAGGTGGGTAGCAAAACGTAGGGTTTGCTGTTCGTACAGCGGCTTCCAATGCAAGCTTGACCAAAATCCCTGAACCCAAGCCACGACAGGGACTACGACCGCGATCGCTCTCGGAAATATGGCGGAAGGCGCGCATCAGCAAGGACTTGGGATGGCGGTGGTGGCAGAATAAGCTTGTGAGCCTGTACCGTGTAGATGCAGGACATCTGCGTCTCTCTTAGCACGACTCACTCAAGCCAAAGACTAAAGAAGCTGTATTTGGGCACAAGCCTATTATGATCGTTCCCCTCCCCTCGACAGGTCCCGTGGACGTGACAGCCGTGACCGACGAAGCGACCGACGCGATGACCGTGCGCTCTCGGAAGTCTTGCAGATTCTTTAGATGGCTCTGCAAAGTCCCGTTCGAAAGCCAGAACTGTGAAGATGTTACTGCCGATGAACACTCAGTGTTGCTGAGGTGGGTCTCGCTACGACCGTGATCGCAGCCCTCGACGGGCCTTCGGACCAGGTGGAAGGTCGGGAGTGCGTGGTCTAGCTTCGTCGGTTGCTGTGAGTCATGATGTGGAAGATGACTGTGACGCTTCGTCGAACGTTTGTCAATGCCTGGTTTTGTTGTTTGGCTTGTCAAAGTTCCGCACGTACGACTTACAGCATGGTATCCTATCTATAGGGCCCGATTTTCTTATGTAATCTTGCAGGTCCTTGTGTAGCTCACATGTGCCCACACCGGAAAGCTCAATTCGAACCACTGCTCACAAGTCCTTTTTCAGAGATCATTCGGGTCTATCAACTGCCAGCGCCCTGCAGGCCCAGCGGCAACTGGGGCGGAGTGCCTTGACCAATCATGGCCACTGGTGGGAGGTGGTGGCGGCATGGTGGGCCTTTCCGTGGCATGTGGATAGCTCTGGAATGCATGGTGGCATGGCATCCTGCATTCAAACTCCTCCGTCTCCCCGAAAGTCCAGAAGTTTTAGCCCCTCCTCCCAAATGTCGACCCGGTCACCCAAGAGTCTCCCGCACCCCTCTGTTTGGAGGTCTTGCGCGTGGCATGGCATGTGTGGAATCGCATGGTGTGGATGGTGTGGGTTTGGCTGGTGCCGGAAGGTCCTGGATGTTTGCGGTCGCTTAAGCCACGACGGGCAGAAATTCTGGAGTGGGATTGAGATTTAAGCGGAGTAGCTTGGAACTGGCACTTGGTGGCCTGGGTAGTGGATGGATGGCAGGAATGGCCCTGCTGCTTGGAGCTTCGAGCAGCCGTGCTGGGGCATTTCGTTTGCGCATTTTCTGCCCATGACGCTCAGGACTGGGAATGTGAGAAGTGTGGCTGCAACAACTTCGCTCGTAGGAACGATTGTTTCAAGTGCGGCGCACCTAAGCCCGCCTCGGCCTCGTAGCTGCGATGGCCAATGAGTGTACATACGGACGAATCCAGACAGGCTCTACGAAAAGCATGTCGGTTGCCGAAGGGAGTGCCTTAATTGAAGAGGTTCATGAAGATGAGTTGCGCATGCCTCATGCTTCTTCTTGAGCGGTTTGAGGTTGGACTTGCTGCGTTCCACCCGCAGCAATATGGCCAAGCTCCTTCTGTTCTTGTCAGCGTGTACGTTGCAGGGTCCGGGGTGAGACTTGGTGGCATTTGAGAGGTGGTTCTTGCTGGGGCAGGCTTGAAGTATCTTGAAGTCTTGCTGCATGCGACTCCGAGTTTGCCACGAGGGGGCTTCTGCAGCGCGCACACTGCCCCAGGAAATACCAGAGCCATGCCTCGCGACGATTCCGGCATCTTACCTAGATTAGATTGTTGGTGCGAACTTTCGAAGTTTGGAGGCGTGTGCTCTTGAGCTTTCACGGCTTGGGCTTCCGCTCGGCCAGAGTTGGACATCGGGTTTATGGGTTCTTGGAGGGTGATGTCATCGACAACTTCGCAGATCTTTGCTTAGGCATTGCCCAAAAACCCTTGTCTGAGCCTTCTCGCCCGATTCCAACTTTATCCTCCACACCAAGGCGGCATACACAAGTCCGAGCAAGTCACTGACCCGGAACCGGCAATCGACGCTTCGCCCAGGTGAGCGGCGAGACAGCCGAGAGCGCGACCGAGCGCCAAGGTATTCTGGGGCTTACCAGGTTTGCTGCGCCTTGGGTCCCAGAAGGCTTCTGTAAAAGGAGGATTGGCAGTTTCGACCCCACCGTTCGAGACAGATGGTACGCACAGGCCGGCCGACGCACACGGATTGTCGGGTCGAGCACAGGACATGCCCGCGAATCCTTGCAAATCAACAGATTTCGAAGAGGCTCAAGCTCGCTCCAATCTTACGACCGAGTTCAAAGTTCGTCGGAGAAAGCCGGAACTGAGATCCGACGGAGATCTCTGACCGCAGCTTTTGCGGAAAAATGTGCCTACCATTCTGTGTCAGGTACAGCCCACGCCGACCTAGCCCCCGAGGAGCAAGCCCTCCACGGAAGGACAGCCGTGATCGAGGCACAAAGTCTCCCCCGGAATTTGCAGTGGCATCGGAATCTTGGATGGACGAAACCTACATATTTCATATTCGTATACACGCACATACGTACATACACACACATATATATATATATATATGTGGAATATGTACATATATACTCGAACTGCTAGTAGCATCCTCGAATACTTTTTCAGATATCCCATTTAATGGATTGTTAGCAGGGTTATAAACAACCCTCTACCTTGAAACGTCCGCCAGGATGCTTGCGGAGCTTTGGGAGGGAGGTGGTGTAGAAATATGTGTAGTATGTATATATATATATATACACACACACACACACATCGACCACCGAATTCGGAGTCCGGTTCTTCGGTTCAGCATGGCAGAAAACTCCTGGTCTTGCTTAGCTGTGTGGAGATGATACGTGAGTCAACCAACCGGCAGTGATCCGAAGCCAAACCTTCGCTCTTGCATAGGCAGGGGGCGAGACTACGAGGCATGGCTGCAAAAAACCGACCGACGAAAGGGTTGAAGGCCGAGCTGCCAACATCCGCCTGCCAGCACGTTTTGCAACATTCTGACACACCGTGTGATCTCGTCTTGGACTGGCAGACCCGATTTAAGGACAAGCGGGACCGCAGCTATGACAGGCTGGCGTTGGAGTTCCATTGTCAGCGGATCGCTAGCCCTCAAATCTAGGACGCAACGCCCAACCCCAAAACGCATGGAATCGTTGGTTTTTGAAGGCAGCCTCAAAATCCTGACAGGGATGCAGACCGCCGCTCCAGGAGAGATGACCGGAGGTGGCTTGCGGGGCTGCAAGTGGCGGTGGGTAACAAGACGTAGGGTTTGCTGTCCGGACAGCGGCGTCCACTGCAAGCTTGTCAAAGAGTCCTTGAACCCAAGCCAAAACAGGGACTACGACCGCGATCGCTCTCGGAAGACTGGCGGAAGGCGCGCATCAGCAAGGACTTGGGGTGGCGGTGGTAGCAGAATAAGCTTGTGAGCCTGTACACTGTAAATGCAGGACATCTGCGTCTCTCTTAGCACGACTCACTCAAGCCAAAGACTAAAGAAGCTATATTTTGGCACAAGCCTGTTATGATCGTTCCCATCCCCTCGACAGGTCCCGTGGACGTGACAGCCGTGACCGACGAAGCGACCGACGCGATGACCGTGCGCTCTCGGAAATCTTGCAGATTCTTTAGATGGCTCTGCAAAGTCCCGTTCGAAAGCCAGAACTGTGAAGATGTTACTGCCGATGAACACTCAGTGTTGCTGAGGTGGGTCTCGCTACGACCGTGATCGCAGCCCTCGACGGGCCTTCGGACCAGGTGGAAGGTCGGGAGTGCGTGGTCTAGCTTCGTCGGTTGCTGTGAGTCATGATGTGGAAGATGACTGTGACGCTTCGTCGAACGTTTGTCAATACCTGGTTTTGTTGTTTGGCTTGTCAAAGTTCCGCACGTACGACTTACAGCATGGTATCCTATCTATAGGGCCCGATTTTCTTATGTAATCTTGCAGGTCCTTGTGTAGCTCACATGTGCCCACACAGGAAAGCTCAATTCGAACCACTGCTCACAAGTCCTTTTTCAGAGATCATTCGGGTCTATCAACTGCCAGCGCCCTGCAGGCCCAGCGGCAACTGGGGCGGAGTGCCTTGACCAATCATGGCCACTGGTGGGAGGTGGTGGCGGCATGGTGGGCCTTTCTGTGGCATGTGGATAGCTCTGGAATGCATGGTGGCATGGCATCCTGCATTCAAACTCCTCCGTCTCCCCGAAAGTCCAGAAGTTTTAGCCCCTCCTCCCAAATGTCGACCCGGTCACCCAAGAGTCTCCCGCACCCCTCTGTTTGGAGGTCTTGCGCGTGGCATGGCATGTGTGGAATCGCATGGTGTGGATGGTGTGGGTTTGGCTGGTGCCGGAAGGTCCTGGATGTTTGCGGTCGCTTAAGCCACGACGGGCAGAAATTCTGGAGTGGGATTGAGATTTAAGCGGAGTAGCTTGGAACTGGCACTTGGTGGCCTGGGTAGTGGATGGATGGCAGGAATGGCCCTGCTGCTTGGAGCTTCGAGCATCACCCATGGTAGCTTCTTCTCGTGTTGGGCAGTTGCGAAATTACAGTCTGTCCGTGATGCTCAGGATTGGGAATGTGAGAAGTGTGGCTGCAACAATTTTGCTCGCAGAGATGACTGCTTCAAATGCGGCGCAAAGAAGCCATCCTGATGAGCTAAGTCTCAACTTTGTCCAACGTAGACGCCGCAGGCGGGTATGCAACGGAAGTTCTCGAAACGGAGGTCTGGTACATGTAGACACTCAACAAATTCTGAGGTGTTGAGGCAAGTACGAATGTAGTGCTGCATTTACAGTATCGAACCCTTGGCTTTGGCTCTTTGGCTGTGGTGCATACCCACATGGCCAAGAGGCCGGTGAAAGCCGATGCAGCATCGGAGGGATGCGCTGCAAGAGGTTTCTTTCGTGCTGCTTGCAGTTCACCGAAAGCTGGGCTGCGTGCTGGGCGAAATGTACGGATGTGTGTGGGATTTACGCTTAGTTAACTGCTTTGTGATGACTGCTTCTAGGACGTGATGCTTGAGGCATCCTTTGATGCTGCAGAAGTACAAAGCATGCTCGTGCAAATTAGCTCAGGCACCTAGACTTTGCCTTGTCGTGGCAGATTGCGACGCGGCTTCAAAAGGATCATTGCGACGACGAAGACACCTCTCCCATGTTCTCAAGCATGAATCTTGTGGGTCGGGCTTCGCGAGTGGAGGAGTACAGGTAAGCTTCCCGAACCCTTGCTGATGTAAACGCGCAAGAATCAGGAGCTTCGTTCTTTGGGCTCTGGCGCTGTCCCTACTGGGATTTTGGTGGGACCCCAAGATGAGTGCGAGGGCTGCCTCGGACATGAAACTTTTGGCTTGACTTTGAGACTTGCTCAATTCGTGATGCGTCTATCGGACCCACAAGACCATCTTATCCAGCCTAGTTAAGAAGGCCACTGACCCTGTGTTCTGCCACAGGCTTGGTTTTCACGGAACCGGCTTTGGGTATCTGCACTTCCTTGGCCAGCTTTGGTCCGTCTCATCGCAAAACTGGTAGGTGCTGATTGCGGTCACTAGCTGCACTGGCCCCAAACCGCCCAAACCGAGAGTTGAAGACCCAGAAGGCCCGGAGCTGCTCAGGTGGTGGCTTTGCTACAAGAGGCCCAGTCCCAGCCCCTCGCCAGGGCAGGGTTAGGTTGCAGGGCACGAGTTTCAAAGCGCGAAAATATGAATCCGAGCTCTACCGCTCCAACTCCCAGGTTCCATGACATGCCATGATTAGCCCATGGCCATCTGAGTCTGTGCCCTTACGCACAGAGCAGCGAAGGGCCAGCACAATCGGCCCCCTCAGATCCGACACGAAGAGCCAGGTGCAGGAAGCCTCGATGGCTTTACGCCTTGAGGGGTTGCTCCCTGCCTTCACTGCATCAGGGATTGCTTGCCAGGTGAGAATGTTCATGTCGCCGCCCTCGCAGAGAGCCATTCAAGCGAGATTTCTGAGAAAGTGGGAAGGGGAGACAGGATCTGTCTTAGAGCCATGTCGTCCGAGGGTGTCACTGTCACTGGTGCCGAGGAGAGCTCAACTGGAGCGGCCCAACCAAAGCAAGGCACAAGAGCCCCGAATTGCCCGTGGCTGGAAGGAGTACCCGGTGTTCGAGTCGTTCGACGACTACGAGCTGGACGAGAACTTGCTGCGTCCGGTTCCCAGCGCCGCAGCTGTCGAGTATTCCAGTTTTTCTGGCAGTTTACGGTATGTTGTGCCAGTTAGGCATTTGGAGGACCTTGACCATCCCTGACGCTTTAAAACCCCAATAACCCACACCCGAAAACCCTGAACTCGAAGCCCTACAAGCCCCAAGAAGTCCAATCACCTTCAGGCGGCATTTATTCGTACGGCTTCGAGAAGCCAAGTGCGATTCAGCAGCGTGCGGCCCTCGGCCTACTTTGCTACAAGGCTTTCGAGTCTAGGATTTAGAGCTCAGGGTTTAGGATTTGGGGCTGTTTTTGTGTCCAGGTTTGGGCTGGAAGAGACATGCATTTCATGTGGATATCAGTACTGGGCCGGCAGTGTTTGATGTGTCCTGTGTGAGATTATGTGTTCGATGCCACCCATAAAGTCCACGGCGATATTGTAGCTATTCAGATCAACTCAGGATTCAATCAACTCCAGTCGTCATTTTGCTTCTTGAATGGCGGACCTCAAAGCTCACGAAGGTGGCATCAAGCCTATCCTCGATGGTCGCGACACCATCGGGCAGGCTCAGTGCGCATCTCAGAACTTGGGAGAGGGCAGAGCCCCTAAATTCTGAAATCGTGACCGGCCATGTGTACCTTGCTTGGGATCAAGAGCAACGCCCCAACACCAAACCTTGGAGTCGTCCCCAACTGAGGTCTGGAACGGGCAAGACGGCAACCTTTGCCGGGCACCGAGCCTCTGATCCTGGTACAGTGTTTGCAAGAATCACCAGGGCCCATCAACTACTGCATCCAAACTCTGAGATTGTCTCCATTGGCTCAAGTGGGCCCCCTCTCTGTGCCAGAAGCTCCAGAGTAACATGGTTTTCAACATGAAGTGCACCGCCTGCAACAGCGGCCGTTCTTGGCCACAAGTTCGATTGTGCGGACGAGGTCATCGGCGCGCTCCAGCGCATCAATTACGGCGAACGCCACACACAGGACCACCTTCTACACCGTCAGAGTTTCAGGTTGACTGCGCCCAGGACGTACTGTAAAATGAAGGGGTGCGTTCCCTTGAGTCCAGCTGTCGCGGGCATGGACAGATGCCTGTTCCAGATTCGGGTACTCCAGCATTGCGCTCCTGCGCCCGTTGCACCAACCTCGTGTTAAGCCCGTTAGGGAATCCCGAAGAGTAAGACACCATCTGCTGGTCCTGCAGATTGAAGCTTTCAAGATCAAGCTCACGGCCTTAAGAAATGAGACAAACCTTGTCCTGCATACTTTGTACTAGCTTGCTAGGACCATCGTCGGTAGCTTAGAAGCGTGGCATTGCAGCACTTGGTCGTGTGCAAAAGCCCGCAGGCCTTGATCTTGGCACCCACACGCGAACTGGCCAACCAGCAGCTCTGGCGGCGGTGGAGGGATCGGCAAAGGGGATTTGGAGATTTGGGTTCGGGGCGGGGGGGAGGGCGTGTTCCCGTTAAGCAAGCAGCTTGTTTTTGGCTTTCAGATGAGCAGCAAGACGACGTTGGTTGCTGAAGCACACAAGGTTGGTTGGATTGAGCTTGCATGGGGGCTTAACTTCCGCTACATGTGTCTGTGTCTCCATGCAATAGTCACAGCAAAGGCCATGGGGCAAGGATTGGGTTTTGAGCCTACTACCGGGTGTTAATTTTCATGTTGCCAACCCTGTGTGGCCTCGTCGCATGACTTCATAGTCAGCAAGTCTAAGTCATGTTCTTCACGCCTGTGCTGTTTCCCTCCGGCTATCGTTCAAGGACGTTCAAGGTATACCGAGGTCTAAGAGGGTTCGAGGAACGCTTGATACTCGGCGGCCAACTAGTTGTCACCGTGCATCCTAGACTCTCTGTGGCAAGACTGCGCAAGAAGCTGCGCAGCTCTGCTTGGGAATGCACAATCTGCCGAAGAGTGCACCATCGCAAGAAGCCAAGGATCTACAAAGTTGCCTTGGCTCTGGGCGACTACTTGAAGGTGTGAGCAGGGGAAGTGGTTGCCGGATTAGGTTTTGAGGTTTGGGGTCTTGCGCCTAGTGATGTGCGTCACACGCGTGTGGGTGGATGCGTAAGATCTGCACTCGGGATCTTTGGAATGAGATCAGGC